TCTTTTTATGTATTTCTTTTATCCCAAGATGCAACTCCAGACTATTCCCCATCATTTAATATAGTCACAGACACAACAGATTTTGTCATCTTTTCCATTATAAATCCTGAAAATTGAACTTTGTTTTTCTGAATGGATACATGCATTAATGTGTGTATTGAGTGTTTTATGTGCATATTATAATTGATTGAAATAGAATAACTTTCTAAAGCAAGATAGTACTTTTATGTAAGATTATGCCTTTTAAAAATAGGATCCTATTATTCTCACTTCTACTTTTGATCAACTACTTAAAATTATGTTGCTCAGCTATTTTTTTCTGCGCCTGCCAGAATGATATTGTCCAAGATTTATTTGAATAACTTACTATATCTGGATATAGGTGGCTAAATACAGGTTGTATCAAATAAAGCTATTTCTTGGTCTTCTGCTTTCATGATCTATTATAATGCAAAAGAGAATTTGGACAAATTTGCCCTGGCAGTAAATTATTTATTCCCTAAATCCACGAGCTATTGATTGCAGGATCATTACTATAGTTTCAGAGTAAGAATATTAATGTTTCTTATCAGCTGTATGTGACAGGGTTGGCTATGGCAGCAAAATTTAAAACATTTTGTTCCTTTTGAAGGTTAAGGAAATACTTGCTGATTATGATCCTAATTTTATGGCCATGAGTCTTGATGAAGCCTACTTGAATATAACAAAGCACTTACAGGAAAGACAAAATTGGCCCGAGGACAAAAGAAAGTATTTCATCAAAACAGAAGAGTCTGTAGAAAATGGTAAGCAGTTTATTAGAACAATCAAACTAAAAAACAAACAAACAAAACCCTTTGAATTAACCTAGTTAACTTACTAGCATACTTAGATGTTAGAACTAGCTATACTTTTATTATGAAAAATTATTAAAAATGAAAAATCAGAAACTTAAAATATGCCAGTGTATTTTCTGAATATCACTTTTAAACCAAATGAGATTGTTAAATCTCTAGACTTTAAGAATGTGCAGAAAAGTTTATAAAACACATTATAGTAATATAGGCTCTACTGAACAGTTAAAATGTACATGTTTTTATCCAGAGAAAATCTAACTTTATTTTTTAAATTATAGATGACAAACATGTAAAAACATTTTAGCATAGATGTCATATAACCATATAATGTGCATAAATGTACAGAAAATACATAAATAAATAGACATAAATGATCAATAATAAAAAGAAAAAGTGCGTGCAGAGTCTCTGAACAAAGTGATTTCACTGCAGTTCTTTTCCTAAGATCTAACTAACAAAGGGTTGGAATGCATTGAATCTGAGGATGTAATCTGTTTAAAGTGGCCTTGTAGTTGTTAATAGAAAATAGATTTTTAAAATATTTGCTTCAAACATATCAAAATATTGGGTGAGTTTTTTCCTTCATTTCCCAAATCAACTCCTTTCTTTGCCTTGGACCTCATTTTGATTCTTTTATATACAATGAAATAGAAGTTTCATGACCTTAAGGGTTTTTTCTGGTAGTCCCTTTATTACCTATCCAAAATGATGCCAAGAAACGTGCAGATATTATGCATACTGCTTACAACCCTCTGTCAAAGGTATGATTATTTCAATTGTCTGAGCTGTCCTGGACCCCTTAGCAAAGTTCATCTGGATGGAAAGGTAGAAACAGAGGGTTTGCTCACAACCCACAGCCACATTTCATGTTTACAACTCATTGACTGCTTCAGAGGCCACAGGCAGCAGTGGGGAAACCTGTTTGTAGCTTTCCCTGAAGCAAAAATGGTGGATTCTCAGTGGCATAAAATTCTCTCACATTGTTTGGCTCTCAGATCTTTGGAGCAAGTTTAAATATAGCCATCAAATCACAACTTCATTACCTTCTTTACAGTTTTATGGGGTAGGTCTCTTTATTAGAAACACTAAACAATAAACAAGCATAATTTCTGGACATAGGGGCTTGGAGCAAAAAAAGGTTTTCTTTTCTTAGTTTAACTTTATTGTTTGGGTAAGTGGCACATAAAGCCAAATGTCACTTTTTTAAAATCTCACTGTGTTAGTTCCTTACTTTTCACCAGAGAAAGGAGTGGGAGTAGCATTAAATGGTTACGTCGAAGCATCTCCTGAGGGCCTCTTATAAAAATTACTTTCACAATATATTTTTAAAAATTACATTGGAATTAAGGTAAATGTTTTCATTCTCTACCTGGGTTCTTTTTATTTATTATATGTCCAACCTCACTATGAGGGTGTAAATTTTTAATATCTATTGCTTTTAACATTTTTATGAACTTTCATATATTTCATATTCTTAAGCAATTTAAATAGTTTAACTTTTTTTGTCATGTATAAATACCTGTGGGCTGTATTTTCATGCATATTTGATTGCACATTATGCAATGAGAAGCTGTCAACAGTGAGTTGGAGCCACACAGGTGATTAATACATCTTCCTCTAAAATCCAAGACATTTTTCTGCTGTGTGCCCTTTTCTAAAAGGTGCGATCTTTGGCAAAGTATTGCTAACTGTTATATCTATACACAAATAAAATAATAATTATTATTTTATGTTTATTCTGCCGTATAAATCCAAGTGGTAAGTGCCAAGGAATGCGTGAAACGGAAATACTGTACACTTTTTTAGTACTTACCATCCAAATGGGTGCTTTCCACCTAGTGTTTCAGATTATAAGAAACCTTAGTTTTGTACTCTGATCTCCTCAGTTATGGGGATTATGAAGATATTTCTTTCAGAAAGCAAATAAGAAACCACTTCAGCATTTAGTTGCATAGCCAGGCTTCACAGAGAAGTAGACAGACCGAAAAGATAATTACGCCATTGAGCAGCAGCTCTAACAAAATCTTACTATAGTGTTCTGCTATCAGAGTGACTCACCTGAGGGCAGGGTGATAGAACTATGAGGAACATAAACATGGCATAAGGAACCGCAGAAGGGTTTTATGATTGTGACAGACACCTTACTTGGTCTGCAGTTTTTCGGTAGCTCTCTTTATGTTGACTTCTACTCATTCAGATGGGGAAAAGGAAAATACCATTTCAAGTGTGCCACAGTCTTAATCTCCTCTGAATTGCTTTGCATTTTAAAACCAGAACGTTGCAATGAAAGGAACTGAAGCACATAAATAATAGCTAATGTTTAAGTTCAAAATAATGTTTATTTTGTAAATGTCCTGGAAATTCAGTTTTTGGAAAACATCTGTCTGTAACTTAAGTCATATTGTATACTTTAAAATTTAAAACTAATCAGGGGTTGTCACATTATTTATATTATCTTTAAAAAAATTTTTTCTCAAAGGCTAAATTTATTTTTAAAGTAATATGCATTCATATGTGTCTTGAAACAAGAAATTTAAGTTTTACTTCTGCATTTACTTTAATTTGGAAAACATTTCTATGTAATAAAATTATGAAATGGGATCAGAATGCTCTGTTATCTTAGTTGTTATATAAATACATTAAAACTGCATTTTTCCTCCATTAAATCCAAAAAGTAAAGTTTTTAATGGATTTGTTCATGAGGACATTTTTACTATCAGTATAGATTTAGGTGTATTTTGGAGTCCATTATGAAAAATGAAAAAAAAAAATAAAGTAACCATATTGATATTTTTAATCTACTTTTTAATAATAACAGTTTATAGCCTATTAATAAAAAAGGCTTCTTTCCCTTAACCTTGGACCATGGTTAATCTGATCAGAACTTAAGAGTTTGTATATTTGGAAAAGTATAACTTCTAGAAGTAATTTCTATTTATTTCAAATAGTAAAGATACTTTATAAACAAGCAAGTAAAATTAAAGTCATCATTTGGAAGAAGAAAATTTAATTTTTTTTTTAAAACAAAACTTATTTTTCAGGCATTTATTCTAGATTGCTTAATGCCTGTTTCCCTTACTCTTAAATTCTAATTTAAGAAGATTCTTTTCTTTCTCCCCTGAGATGAGTAAAGGTAAAAAAACCTTTAATTTTTTTTTTTTTTTAAAGAAAAATATAATAAGAATCTAAACCCAATTCTGAGGTACAAAAATTAGTTTTATCTTAGGATATTTCTTTTTAAAATGTATACTATTGAAATGGATAATATGTTTAAGAAAATCTTAAAATCAATTTTTTTAACAGTTAAAAATATAAATTATAATATTTCCGATCTTGATTCTTAAAAACAAAACTAAACTAGATCTTTTTTGTTTTTAGGAAGAATGTGATGAAACCTAATTTATGAAATATGTACTTATTAAAATGAGGGTGAATTACTGTTCGTGTTTATAATTTAGATAAACCAGGAAAGGAAGATAATAAACTGAGTGAGCATGAACGATCCATCTCTCCACTGCTTTTTGAAGATAGTCCTCCTGATTTGCAGACCCCAGGAAATACTTCTCAAGTGAACGCTGAAGAACGAAATAATCCTCAAATACTCCAAAACTCAGTTGTTTTTGGTACATCAGCTGAGGAAGTGGTAAAGGAAATTCGTTTCAGAATCGAGCAAAAAACAACACTGACAGCCAGTGCAGGTACTTAACAAGATATTAATGGCTACAATAATTATAATTTTCAGATTGGCTAATTTAAGTATAATATTAGTAGTTTCTCATTATGAAGTATATAGTAACATGTTACTTAATCATTTTTTGATTCAACTCCTAATAACCTTACCTATTTAGAATACCTAGAACCTACTACAGGTAAGCCAGAGTAAGCCAAAAAGCCTGAACTCAAGGAAAAAACTATCATAAATCTCACATATCTTTCCTCTGTTAACAATAAAATATATTTTAATTGGTTTTGGGTAGACTGCACCCTATTCAAGATTACAGTGCAGGAGAGAGCTCAGATGGCCATAAGGTAATACACAGGAGAAACACCAGCTAGAAACATAACAATCTAGGACCATCAGGTGAAGGGAAAAAGAGCTTTTCATATGTCAATAACCCGTGAGAATAACACTGAGTCTTAGCATAGAAACTGACATTGGTCATGAGGACCCTAAATTATCTTATAAAAGCTATGTTATTATAAGATTATTCTTTTCTTTTTATATCAAAGCATGCGAATAAGTAATTTTAGGAAGATTTGTATAAAAATTGAAATGAACAATTTAATGATTATATTAGAATATTCCTATTTTAATTTATCTTAATCATTAAGACTCCTAGAAATTATAAAATACCTTTTTTAAAAGTAGTAATTTACTCTATAACATAAAAAGTGTGCACCTATTTCAATATTTTTATTTTAAATATACTACAAACCATAATCTCTGATTTTTTTCTTTATGTGGATGATCTATACAGAGGAGCTTTTCAAAGAGTAAACGTACATCCTAATTTACATTTTGGATCTTTTCTATAAGATAGACCTGTGTTTCTACTGAAGATAGTAAATAAACTAATAATATCACTTAAACTCAGAAATTATTCTTAGACTTTAAAATACCATGGAGATTAAATAGTACTAATTTCTGCTGCCAAAATAACTAATACAATTCCATTTTCTAAAGCTATAGCAAGTCTTGAGGAGATAGATAATAATTAAAATGTTATTTTAAAAGTAGCATTCTACATCATTTTAAATCTTTTACACTTAATATTGTTTTTTTCTATATTATCATCACACATTTAAAAATCATACATGTCAACTTCTTTGTGTCATCAAAGTGTTCTTCTCTTAAGGCATTGCCCCAAATACAATGTTAGCAAAAGTGTGCAGTGATAAGAATAAACCGAATGGACAATACCAAATTCTTCCCAACAGACAAGCTGTGATGGACTTCATCAAGGACTTACCCATTAGAAAGGTGAGATTTTATATAAAATTTATCATTTGTTTATATACTGTGAATTCTGAAGGGTAATATTTAGGATAATAATCATCATCATTCTTTGCTGAAACGTTTTAAAACAATAGGTAACAAGCAAGATGTGTGATGGATGATTGAATTTGGACTTGAAGAAATTTTTCTATTAAACCCTAAAAGGGAGGTTTGCTGAAAAGTTTTAAGAAAGTAATAGATGATAGACTTTTAAGTGTACCCCTGCCAAAAAAAGTGAAATAAAAAAGAATACTTGTAAGAGTCCTTTCAGCTGAAACTTAATATACTGTCTTAGTTCTAAAGTACAGATTGCTACCTGATTAATAGGTACGATACTTCAAAGAGATTTATAATTTTAATTGTTTTTGAAAAAAAATAAAATACCATCTTTAAAATGGTAAAATGATCCCTTAAGGGTTATGGAAAAGAAAGGTATATTTTGTTATTTTTTAAAGCTTCTAGATTTTCTGCATATATACATGTTTTTAAAAACAATAATTGCACTATACACTATTTGGTATTCTAGGGCTTGCTTTTTACTCGATATAACATATATGAGTAAATTTAAATAAAGCATTTTTCAATGTTCAGAAGAAAGGCTCTATCAAAATATATAATGTGTAATGATTACTGAATAGTATATGTAAGGTATAGCTGTAAAGCAGTGTTTTCCAATATGTTTTTTAAGGTATGAATAGGTGTTCCATTAAAAAAGGATCTGGGGTCAAATAACTTTGGAACAGACCTGCTTTGATGAGTCACAAAGATACTGGAGTATTAAAGATTCCTAAGCCTTGCAGTAAAAAGTTCAATTTAAATTTCTTTATCCCATTATTCCCCAAGTTTACTTGACCACGGAACTCTTTTTTTAATGCTTTTAAAAATTTTATTTAAAATTAAATTTAAAATTTTAATATCCAAGGAACACTAGTTTAGGAAATGTGACTGGAAGTAATTAAAGCAGTTTTCTTGCATGACTTTTAAAAATAGTCACGTTATTCATGCCTCTTAGTGATTATAAAAGGTATAATGAGATTATAATATCAGTTCTTAGCTTAATTTAAAAATGTATTAATAATAAATACTGATTCTCTTTTAGGTTTCTGGAATAGGAAAAGTTACAGAGAAAATGTTAAAGGCCCTTGGAATTATTACTTGTACAGAGCTTTACCAACAGAGGGCATTACTTTCTCTTCTTTTCTCTGAAACATCTTGGCATTATTTCCTTCATATTTCCCTGGGTCTAGGGTCAACACACCTGGCAAGGTACCTATATGTATACTCATTTTGCTTTTTCTTTATCATTTGCTGAAATAACAGTTTTAACCATCAAGGCAGAGGATGTAAGAATAACATGTTTTAAAATTCTTTTAGGCTACTTCAATTCAGAATATAATTTTTGAATTAGAGTGAAAAGATTAGATGTGAGAGAAAATGAAAAGAGGAATAAAGAATCATTTCTAGGTTGTTGACCACAGTAATTGAATAGGTGAACAGAGGTATGATGGGTACTGTCTTGTCTGTACTTGCCTTGTTCATTGTTCAGAACACAAGAATACTGGTGGTCACTAGTCAGGGGGATCACTTCGTAAATTATATAAATGTCTAACCCCTACGCTGTTCACAAGAAACTAATACAAAATAATATTGAATGTCAACTGTAATTGAAAAAAAGTCAGGTAGTTTCAGATCACTAAATGTTACCTTGTAAACTATATATAGTAGATATAGCTTCCAAAATGCAAAAAGGAGATGTGGTATACAGCATAGAGAATATAATCAATGATATTGTGATAGCATTGTAGTGTTAGATGAGTGCTGGACTTATCATGGTGATCACTTTAGATATGTAAATGTTGAATAACTATGGTATACACCTGAAACTAATACGATATTGTGTATGTTAGCTATGTTTTAATAAAAATCTTTTGTAAAAAAGAAAAAAAAAAGAATATTGGTGGTCAGATTGTTAAGGAAAGAAAGATGGCTCATATTCCAGAATTCACTCTTTAAACAAGGAGATTTAATGATTCTTTGAAAGCCTTCATGAACTACCTATATTTCTTTTCTTTTTCTAGATTTGTAAATGATTCATTCATTCACTGAGTACTCACTTTGCGTTAGATGCTGTTCTAGGCCCTGGGGATAATAACAATAAACAAGACAGTCCTGCCTTCATGGAGTTTACAGACTAGTGTGAGAGATGGAAAGTTACCAAATAAACAAATTAAGAAAGTAAGGCAGAGTGAGGGCAAAGAAAATGGCTTGAAGGGAGGAGGTAAGAGTGGGGGTTAGCAATGCTCATCCAGAGGCAGAGGAGACCAGCCATGCAAAAATCTAGAAGAGGGGAGAGGTATACGAGAGGCCCTGTGTTTTCTTCCCTGCCACTCTTTCATCTAGGTCTTAAAAAGAAGTATCCTAGAGCTAGAATGGTACACTTTTAGGGGTGGGCTAAAGTCCCCTTTAGAAGGGACTAAAAAAATAGAATGGGAATTAACACTCAGCACTATTTTTACAGTTTTGTCATCAGCCTGTCAGTCTGCCTTCAAAATAACTCTTTTATATTCTTATACTTAAACTAAAGGAGAACAGGAGGATTACTGAGGAGGCATATAAAATAAGTTCAATTAACCAATTAAACCTGTTAAATCTTACAGAGATTGCAAGGCTGAATCTTACAGAGGTTGCTTTTCTTTCTTTCCATGCTCCTCATTCTTTTGAGTCCACAGTTAGCTGACTTTGATTTTGAGTAGATATAATAAAAGATAAGAAAAAGATATCATAGCACTATACATAATCTAGTATTTTGAAGATAATGGGAAATAAAACTGTCTTCTTTCATCTAAAAGTATCTTCTTATTTCCCTAGTGCTTGAAAACAATATAGTTCTTGAGGTAGTTCCAGATGCAGGTAATGGTTATTTTAAGTAAAATTCATAGGTCATTTTAAATAATATAAAAAGCAAACCTACCTTCCCTTCTATCTACATTCTCTACTCCCCTGCTATGCTTTATTTTTAAATCTATAGTATTACTCCCCTTGTAACACATTCTGTATTTACTTCTGTATTTGTCTGTCTCCTTCCACTAGAATACACGTTTCTTAAGGGCAGGCACTTGGTCTGTTTTGTTCATTACTGTATCCCCAAGGCCTAGAACAGTGCTTAATTCATCATAGGTTCTCTAAATCTTTGGAAAATGAATAATCTACATATAATTTTGGCTTTTTGGTTTCAACTGCTTCTATCAGAGTAGCTAGAATCCAACCAAACTAGATGTTTCCGATTTCCAATCCTCATCTTATTGCGATATGTCAAATTCTGACAAAGGTTCTATAGATGAATAATGAGTAGGCTATTGGAGACAGAAGTTAATGTACTAAGCCAAAAACTAGATAACTGATATTAAATTATTTAAAATTTAATTATATCCTATAATTGCAAGTTATTACACTACCATCTGCTACTGGTTTTTATAAGTTGTGGTTTTGATATGCAGGCTTTTAATAGAAGCTCTTTATAATACCAACCTATTTTCAAATTTGTTCTCTTTGATAGATATAGATTTGATCCATGACACACCTTATCTCTCTCCGTTCTTTCAATGATAGTTTTATTTTTAGATTAAAAAACCTCACTGTTTTTTCATGACATATAACTTTTAATCAAAAACATTATTGAGATCTTATAACGGTAATTGATAATGTTAAATCTTCTTGGTTGACTAAGAGAAACTCAGTCTCCTTTGAGAAAGCAAATAAAAACTTTTTCTTTTATTTCAAGGGATGCAGAGAGGAAAAGCATGAGTGTTGAAAGGTAATATTTTACTATTTATTATTAATTGTTCCTAATTCATGTTATTTAAAATTAATTTTTAGTAACATCTCACTGAAATTTAAAAATCTGTTTTCAAACCACAGAATTCTCTTCAGTTTACATTCCTGAAGTAAATATCCCAGTACAATTTATTATCTTTACTTGCTATGCTCTCAACGGGAAAAAAATTAAATGTAGTTTTTTTTTAAATGGTAGTTTTGTTTCTATTCAGTGAAACACCAAGTATTTTAGGATTTTAAATCTTAATTTCTTGCCTTGTTTATCAGAAAAATTATACTGAGTAGTTATTTGGGAAGTTGAAGAAGTGACAATGGAAATACTTCCTAAAACTTGTCAAATATTGGCGAATGAGCAGAGGCATCAAATAGTAAGATATTGATGAAAGAGAGCTCAGAATTGATCTAGTTCAGTGGTTTACAATTTTCTTTAGAAGTCAAATGAAATCTTGCTGGAAACCTTATTGTTTTGGGAAATACGTCATTTCTAACATATTCTATTGACAAGATTATGGGAGTGAAAAGCAATAAACTCTAGGAGGGGGTATACTAGTTTCTTATTGGTGCTATGACAAATTATCACAAATTTAGTAGTTTAAGACAACACAGATTTATTCTCTTACAGTTCAGAATTAGTAAGGTCAGAAGTCCTAATATTAAGGTGTTGGCAGGGCTGCCTGCATTCCTTCTATAGGTTCCAGGGGAGAATCCATTTCTTTATCAAAAGCTTTTTGAGGCTACCTACATTCTTTGTCTCATGGACTCATCCTCCATCTTCAAACTCGGCATCTTCTCTTTCTCTAACTCTGACCCTCCTGCTTCCTTCACATAAGGAACCTTGGGATTACATTGGACCCACCTGGATAATTTAAGATAATCTCCCCATCTTGAGTTAATCACATCTGCAAAGTCCTTTTTGTGATATAATATACTCACTTCAGAAGATTAGGATTTGAACATCTTTGGGGACCAGTATTTTGCCTGCTACAGGGGGCAAGCAATTTGGCAATATCTATCAAAATTACAGAAACATATGTACTTTGATCCCGTAGTTCTTTTTTTAGGAATTCATTCCACAGATATAATCACATGTCATTTTACATGTATACAAGGTTATTCTTTGCATTTTTTTTTTTTGTAATAGCAAGAGATTGAAAATAACTTAAATATCCATGAATATGGATCGGGTTAAATGATCTTACACCTTTAAATTAGAGTATTATGCTGCCATATAAAAATGAGGAAATTATTTACTCATAGGGAACTTTCCAGGATGAACTGAGAAAAGCAAGGTGCTAAACAATGTGTCTAATATTCTGCTTATGTAAAAAATAAGAGGAAAATATTTGCTTGTTTACTTTTATATGCATAAGATATTTCTGGAGGAATTCATAATAGGAAGCTGGCAACATTGGCTGCCACTAGAGAAGAGATCTGAGTAGCTGGGGATAGAGTTAGAAGTGGGTGTCTGAATAGTTATTTGCACACGGTTTTTTATTCATTACCCTGATCTCTCTCCAGTATCTTCCCTGTTTATGTTAATATGACTTTTCACTTCTTTCAACGCTCTTGTGCAGATGAATTCAAAATTTCTACTTTTAATCTTACCAGCCCTCCATTTTCAGTTGTTTATTAGAAAACTGTACCTAGGCTGCCATTAATCAACCCCCCTTAAATCTACTTGAAGATATTCTCTTTCAGAAAATACATGTGCAATGATTGGAGTGATGTTCTCATCTGTACTTTCTTAAGAAAATTCTCTGTAGCAGAGTCTATATACATAAATACATTAATGTGCTTTAAGTTTCTGGGGGCATTATCATTATCTGTTGGTTACTTTAATCATCTTTTTAAAAAATATTATAGAGAGAGCAAAAGCATAAAAGCACATTTTTGCTAGTAAGCTTAACTATCTAAATGATCTTCAGTTATTTAGGTAGATCTTAAATGTTTTTAATTATATCATAGTTCATCTGAAAGCTTTATTCTGTATTGCAGAGAATATAACTTAATGTGAGACTATTTTATCAGTCTTAAATTATTCTAAATTATAGTTTACTTTGTACACCAAAATCATTCTTGTCTTTCTAGGACATTCAGTGAGATAAGTAAAGCAGAAGAACAATACAGCTTGTGCCAGGAACTTTGCAGTGAACTTGCTCAGGATCTGCAGAAAGAAGGACTTAAGGTACTTTATTTTAATGTGGTGTTCTTTGTTTTAATTTTTTTTAAATGATAAAATGCTACTTCAGTGCAAGAGTTAGAGTTTGCATTTGAATACAAATTGGGAAATGTCAGAAAAGAGTATTCCCATCACTAACAAAAACAAATTCAATTCTGGCCCATATCTGAGGCCTATGATGAGGTCATTCCATGAAGAAGCAATTTAAGAGAATTGAGTGGTTCCAGTATAATCCCAGAGCAGTTGATACTACCTCAGGAATACATTCGAATAAGTTCAAAATCAGAGTTATATTGATGTTAGAGAATAAAGCAAAGGGAAGAATATCCCTAGAACTGTATTTACATATTATAAATGCCTTGTCAATCATCCTTTAATGTTTTTCTCAGGTAGACAGTGACCTTCTAGAATAAGCATTTTGTTTCAAGGCTGTAATGCAAATTGCTTAACACATTGAGAATGAAACCTGCAAGGCTTTGAACTTTGAATTCTATAATCTTCACTTACAACAATCCAGATGTTTGGTGTTTTACCAACATTCTCAAACCAGAGGCGAAGTGTCCTTATCACATCCTATCAGGGAACAGTAGTCCCTCTTATCCAAGTTTTCACTTTTCATCGTTTCAGTTACCCATGGTCTAAAAATATTAAATGGAAAATTCTGGAAATAAATCATAAGTTTTAAATTGTATACCATCTTCAGTAGCTTTATGAAATTCCGTGCTGTCCTGTTCCCTCCTGCCTGGGACGTGAATCATCCCTTTGTCCAGTGTATCCTGTATATGTTACCTACCATTAGTCACTTAGTAGAGGTCTCTGTTATCAGATTGGTTATCAGAGAAAGAGAGACCACATCACATAACTTTTTTACAGTACATTGTTGTAATTGTCTTATTTTATTGTTACTTATGTTGTTAATCTCTTGCTGTGCCTAATTTACAAATTAAGCTTTATTATAAGTATGTATGTATAGGGAAAAAATTGTGTATATATAAGATTTGGTACTGATGCAGGACAGGGCAAATTTCCCCCACCTGGTGAGGGGAGACCAAGCCCTGCACCCAGAGAAGACAGTCCTTTGGTGGAAGGTGTAGAATTCAACACACACGCCGAAGTTAGAGTCAAAAGGAAAGTTTATTAGAAAAGGGGTAACACTCCACAGGCAGAGAGAGAGCATGGTCTCCCTCTCAGAGGCACAGAGTGAGAGATACAGTGAGAGGGGCAGTGATAGAGTAAAGGCACTGAGAGGGACCCAGAGTGTTCAGGGAATTCAGTTTATATGTCATTCTTGAGTTCCCATTTCCTTTGATATGGACATGTAGTGAGGCCTGAAAAAGGTAAGAATATGCAGAGTGAAAGGTCTGCTGGCAGTTCCCAGCCTTTAATCCATAGGTTCCCCTGTGGTTTCCCCTTCACAGGTGTGGAGAATGGGTTGTTAGTAATCTAACAGAAATCTTCCTTTGTTCTGAAGGTGTCCTCCTGGCCTGGCTGCAGGGCTAATCAGCATATTGCCTTCTCTGATTGTGGCTTGATTAACATTTTTAATTCTCTTGCCTCCTCCCTACATTAGTACTATCTGAGGTTTCAGCCATCCACTGGAGGTGTTAGAACATATCCCTGAAGATAAGGGGATGATGCTGTGTATGATAGCCACATGATATTATGCATAACATTAATCTCCATCACTTGGTTTAAGATTGTGTTTGCTAGGCTTCTCCACTGCAGAATTACTATTTTCCCCTTTCCATACTCTATTCTTTGGAAGTGAGTCAGTAAGTCTAACCCAGTCTCACTACCACCAGGACGTAGTAAAATATATGTAATATAAAATTTACCATTTTAACTATTTTTAAGTATGCATTTCACTGGCACTACATACATTCATATTGTATAACCATCAACACTGTCAATCTTCATAACTTTTTCATTATCTCAAACTGAAACTCTGTGTCTATTAAACAGTAACTGTAAAGAGAATTCTTACATATCAGTGGTTTAACATCTGTCATATAGTAGGCACACAATGAGTACGAGCTATCCACAAAACCTGTAGAAAGATTTTTTTTCCTTCCTTTTTAGGTAATGAATTACCTCTAAAAAGAATTTCAGTAAAAAAGAAAATGATCAGTTAACTTTGTACTTTATATAAAGGTCTTTTATAAAAATTCATTTGGGGAGGAGTGTAATAATTATTGGCTAAAATAGGATTTTTAAATTAGTTATGGATTTTGGTTATTCTTTATTACCATATTTTAGAAATAATTGATTACGCTTCCATATTATTTGTATATAAGAGACCTTTCTGAGTTTTTCTAACCTGTAACTTTTCCAGAAGTTAGAAAGCCATATATAATAATGTATTCTGTTTGTTATAGGGTAGAACTGTTACTATTAAGCTGAAGAATGTGAATTTTGAAGTAAAAACTCGTGCATATACAGTTTCATCTGTCGTTTCTACTGCAGAAGAAATATTTGCTATTGCTAAAGAATTGCTAAAAACAGAAATTGATGCTGATTTTCCACATCCCTTGAGATTAAGACTGATGGGTATGACTTCTTGTTTTTCCTTAAATCTGCTAGACTTTCCCAAAGAATCAACTTTGGAAATTTTCATCTCCATTTTCTTTCTTAAAGCTATTTAGGAAGTTGTACTTACACTGCTGCCATTTTTCATAATTCTTAGAACTCGATGCATGTGAAGCCATGATCATTAGTTTAATTCCAGTAAGAACCAGTTAAAGTAGTTTTTTTGCTTACTACTTACTGTAATCTTTGGGGCTAGGTATGTTTCAAAATTGAAAACTTTTCAGGTTTTAGAAAGCAAATTCAGTGCACGCTGAGTATATTATGTAATACTCCTTTGGGATCTGAGGCAGCACTTCATGATCAAACATACTAATATTTCTGTAGCAAAGCAAAAATATTCACACTGAGTTATAAAGGCTTGAAATAGCCTCACATCAATTCAGTCATCAATTATCATTTGTTGCTTACAATTTTCAGAATTACCGATGAGGGATTATGGTTCTGTAATCCCACATCTTTAGCCATCACATGGTAAAAAACAAACAATATTTCCAAAGTGAACTGGGTGAGAAAATGTTTATGGATAAGCCTCCCAAATGCCAACTTAGTATACTACTAAGAGGGGATCATTAGCCATACTTTCATATATGAAAAGACAGCACATGCTGAGATCAATTGTATAAAGTATGTTAACTAAAAGAGCTAAAGAGTAGGTATTAATAGAAGCTTTATTCATAATTGCTAAAACTTGGAAACAACCAAGATTCCTTCAGTAGTAGGTCATTGGAAACTATGGTACATCCAGACAATGGAATATATTCAGCAAAAAAGGAATGAGCTTTGAAGAGACATGAAGAGACATGGAGGAACCTTAAATGCATATTATTAATGGAGAAACTAATGCGAAAAGCCTACATACTGTATGATTTAAACTATATGAAGTTCTGGAAAAGACTAGGGAGACGCAAAAAAAATCAGTGATTATAAAGGATTGACAGGGAGGGAGGGATGAATAGGCAGAACATGGAGGATTTTTTTAGGGCAGCGAAGCTATTATGTATGGTGTTTTAATGGTAGCTACATGTGATTATACATTTGTCAAAACCTACAGAATGTACAACACCCAAAGTGAGTAAACTATGGACTTTGAGTGATAGTAATGTGTCAATATAGGTTGTAGTTGACTCTAATTAGTTACTTGGTATGTAATGATATCACGTGTCAAGATATTAATTGAAAGACCTTTATAATCATGCTAATTCTGGTAAATACTTACTATTTAGTGATACTCAATTTTATAAAGGAAAGTAAATTTCGACTCAAAATACCAGCTTTGAAAAAGTATCCTTTAATTCAGAAAATATAGTGTTACTTATTATTTTTCTTTAAACAGCTTTGTTTTAGATAAGTCACAACTATTTTTGCAAAATGTTTTTATGAATTATGAACAAATTGGCTTTGTTGAATTTGAAATTGATCAATTGTGATTGGTTTAATTTAGGTGTGCGGCTATCTAGTTTTCCCAATGAAGAAGACAAGAAACACCAACAAAGGAGCATTATTGATTTCTTACAGGCTGGAAACCAAACACTGTCTGCCACTGGGTGTATAGAGAAAACTGACAAAGATCAGTTTTTAAAACCTCTAGAAATGTCTCATAAGAAGAGTTTCTTTGATAAAAAACGATCAGAAAGGAAATGGAGCCACCAAGACACATTGAAGTGTGAAACTGTGAATAGACAAAGTTTACAGACATCACAATCATTCCAAGTTTTAAAGAGGAAGATGAATGAGAATTTAGAAACACCAGAGAATTCAGATAAGGGTCAGATATTTACCTGCCCTGTTTGCTTTAGGGAGCAAGGAAGCATCAGTCTGGAAGCCTTTAATAAACATGTAGATGCATGTCTTGATGGACCTTTGATCAGTGAAATGTTCTCATGTTCACGTGCTTCCTCTACAGAAGTTAACAAGAAAGAAAATGTACATTATTCTTTTTCACTCTGTGAGAAGCGGGATTATGAAACCCATCAGAAGAACATAGAAATTACTTCAGTAGATTGTGCAGAGTTGCTAGAAACTGTAGGTAATTCATCTAAAGCAGAAAGTGTAGACACTTTAAGCAGTAGCCACAGCAAAGAGGAATGTTCTAGTCTTCCAAGCAAATCGGTTAATATCGAACACTATCATCAGAATTATTTTTGTGCTGTTTCACTGGAAAATGAAGATGTTGAGTCATTGAGAATGCGAGAACCTCTCCAGCCTTATTTACGTGAAGCAACAACAGACCAAGCTCTAGTTTGTCCTGTTTGTAACCTAGAACAAAAGACTTCAGATCTTACCCTTTTCAATGTGCATGTGGATATTTGCCTAAATAAAGGCATTATCCAGGAACTGAGAGAGGATAGAGTTAATCCAGTTAACCAAACCAAAGAAAGCACCAAAAGTACTGGTGAGTTTGCAGTCATATTGAAGAACTTGATTTTCTGGGACTGTTTTGTTAAAATTGAGGTCATTATTAAGTCTGAAACACATACTATTAAAGGAATAGTTTGTGTGTGTTGCCATTGAGGTTGTCAATGTTAGTTACTTTACCATAGGTTAGAAATAACTGAAGCCACTAGATTTTAAATTTTGGAAAACTTCAGTTTTAGCAGAGAGGTTTAACTCAGAGGTTTAGGGAGTTAAGTGATGGAATCAATAAGAAATTCCTTCAGAGAACATTTGTCAAGGCATAGCACTAAATTAATGATAATTACACAGGCATAACACCTCTTTAACTTGTTTTTTGGCAGTTCTGACTCTAGCCAAATTTCAAAAATAAAATTAAATGTAATACTAATAAGACAAGTAAATTATAAAAGAAATTGTGCTATAACATTAGTTTCTGGCATGTTAGTTTCTGGTAATGTGAACTATGTAGTACTGAAACAGTTTTTATTTATATCAGCCTTTAACTTTTTAAATTTTTATACAACACTTTAATTATTTCTTATTATTCATTATGGAATTTCTTCACTTTTCTTCCCTCTATAGCTAACTCAGGCAGAGTACAGAAGACTGTAACAAAAACAAAAAGGTACGGCTAATTAGAGCTTTAATAAAGCTAGCTATAAAACGCATATTTTGAAGTTGAATTTTTAGGTGTTAAAATTTGCTTTTATATCAAGCAAAATTTTTAAAAGTCAGTTATTTCCAAAAATTTTTTTAAATCTCTTCCTGAATTTTAATTGTGTGTGTATGTTTTTTTTAATTCCAGATCAGGACTGATGACAAAGCACTCAGCATCAAAGAAAATAAAACCAAACAATCCAAGACACACCCTTGATATATTTTTTAAATGAACACTGAATATTTTATCTTTAATTTTTAATTGAAACTTATTCTTTATAATCAATGAACCTATTCTTCCTCATTTTAATTTTACAGATTCATTTAGTGAAAGGCCACTGCAGTAATCCCTCCGCAATGATATATCCCTTAGATAAATTTGGAATATATACTAATTTACTTCCTTATACCTTTTTAATGACCATAAGAATTTCACTTTCTGTTAGAAATATTTTTAAAATGAGAAAATAGGAATGGGATCAAAAAGTGATTTCTTTCTTTAGTTTTATAGTGAATATAAAAATATGTATTTATAAAGGCTTCCAGAGGTTCACACAAACCTATTTTAGCATAAGAATTTTTCAATACTTAATCATTTTGTTGGTGCTGGTCTGCTATATTTGATCTGAGTATCTTCAGCAACTTTGTATATTCATATTTTAGTTCCTACTATCTTTAGATACCTCACAAACATTCATAATTAATATTTATGATACATTCTATGAAGAATATTAGTTTAGCAGAACTAGCATGAGTGGTTTTGTTACCTTTAGGAAAATAATGCCACAGTATTATTTTTTGTGTTCAAAGAATTTTGCTTAAATGTGATTATTCATTTGATTTTTTTTTTAATTTAAAATTTCTTTATCTTATGAATAAGCACTTGGTTCACTTTAAAAATTTTTAGTCTAAGATGCAAGGTAATTATTTTTTTTCTGGGACTTTCAAATGGCAGTATTTTATTTCTTGGCAGTTAATGTTTGAACTCTACACAAATGTATAAAAATGTATAAATTGTACACTCTAAATTTGTATAACCTTCTAGAGAAAAATGTGTAATTCAGAAGATTAAGGCATATCTTAGTTATATTTATCTTATATTTCTTTCATGTTTTTATTAATATTCATGAAAGGGGACAGCTTAACAGTAGGTAGTTAGCTTAAGTATTTGCTCCAGATATTTTTGTGCTATCGATAAGAGTTTTTATCAGAAACAATTATTTAAGTGAAACATGAAAATGGAAGCCATTTTGTGACTGCTTTAAAGAACCAAACCTTTTATACTCTTACATTTTTGTTTTCTCTTTTCCTACTTTTCAAGTTGAAGTATAATTGACATACAACATTATATTAGTTGCAGGTTATAATATAATGATTTAATATTTATATACCTACTTTTCAAGGCAATAATATTGTAGGAATAATTTAAATTAGGATCTTGCACAGCCTTGGCCAAAGTGACAACTTGATTTTAGATTACTAGATGGTTTAATATTAGGCTTAAAGTTTATTAGCATGCCAATATCATGCCTAATATTATTATATATTAAGGCAAAAACAGTTGTGCTATGGTTCTTGATTATGTAATTTACTTATATAAATTCTGTACAAGATTAAGTTCAATGAAATACTCATTTTAATGTATTGAAAAAATAGCATATTTGATTTTATATCTTGCCTCAAGTTTTTTGGTGTGTTTTCAGCAATAAATACTAAATTATTTTCATTTAGATGATTCATTTAATTTAATGTTATCATTTAGTCATATTTAATAATAATTTAAAATAAAATTTAAAATATTTAGTTGATCTTTTAGCCATAGAAATGGTTTCCTTCCTTTTCTACCCTTTTCCCACCTCTGGTGCTTTTACTCTTGTTTTCTTTGCCTAACATTCTTTCCACATCTTTTTCTTTCTGTTTTATTTAATACATCCGACTCATTTTCTTTTTATTATAATAATTTTCTTTGGGGCATTTTTAGAAAATATAGCAAAACTACAAAGAATAAGCACCTATAACCTTACCTATTTAGAGTATCAGAATATAAGGAACCAACCACCTGGGAAAACATATTTGTAACAAATACCTGAAAAAAAAAAAACTAGTATCGAGAGTATATAATCCAAAATATATAGATGACTCAAATGACTCAGTAAGAAAAAGGCAGCCAGTAGACATTTGGACAAAAGGCTTTAAATGGCACTTCACATGAAAAGAAATCCAAATGGCCAACAAACATGAAAATATTCTCAGCCTTTTTAGTAATAGAAAAATGTAAAGTAAAACCACAAAGAGGTATCATCATTATCCCTACCACCAGATTCACAAAAATGAAAGTATCCACTGATATTAAATTCTGAAGATGATGTGGAGCAACGTGAACTCTTACTTTGAAAACAAATAACTTTAGAAAACAGTTTGCCCTTCTTTAGTAAAATTGAAGACATGCACACTCAACAATCCACCAATTGCACCCTTAATTATACTCCTTTGCTAGTTGTTTTCCATTTGTCCTATTGATCACTCTTTGCCCTTCATCACCCTGCTTTATGTCCAGCAAGGCACCATGGCAGTGCAGGACATTTGAGGGATGAAAGAAGATGAAGGTCGGTATTTATTCCTCCATGTACCTTTTTTGTAGGATCATCACATGCTGGTTAGGTCCCTTAACCAAGGGTCACAGCTTCTAGTAGGTGGCCCTCTTATTACTGCGTTCTCTGCTCTCTCCAAGTTCTGATAATCTTTTCCTTCCCTCACCTCTTCAACTAGGTGTGGCAACAGAGCCTTGTTCTTTTTAGCCCTGGAATGCTGCACTATCCTTTGTGGTTTCCCCACTCCCTGTTCACACCTATGTAAATGGTCCCTTTCTTAAAAACTCATCTCAAATTACAAATTTTTTTTCCTGCCAGAACCCTAACTAAACAATGCCTTGGGAAAACTATTGAACATGTTCCCTGGGAAGCATGTATAAGAATGCTCAGAGAATGGTTAAATTCTACCATTGTATATTCAACCAATAGGATTCTACACAGTGGTGAAAATGAAGGAAATAGCTAATCAGAATGTTGATGAATAACGTGGAGCTAAAGCAGCAAGTCATAAAAGGATGCTGACAGCATGATTCTATTTATATAAAGTTCAAAACAGTTAAAGCTAGACTATATTATTTTAAGGATGGATATATGTAAGATCAAATTATAAAGGAAAACAAGTATATTATTGTCCCAATAGTTAGAATAAGGATCGCCTCTGTGAGAAGTAAGAGAATGTGATCGGAGCTTCTGGGATGCTGGCAGTGTTCTGTTTCTTATCTTGGATGGTGATTGCATGGTAGTTCACTTTAAAAATATTCTTTAAAATGTACATATATGCTTTATACTAAAACTTGTTCATATGTGACCCATATCACAATAAATTATAAAAAGGAAAAAATGACAAACTGCTTTCCTTAGAAAGATGATGTTTTTTTCCATCTCTATAGGCTACTAGTTTCAATAGAGATACGAGTCTCTAGGACTTTGCTGAAGACAGCAAGAAAGAGTCATCTTACACTAACACTTTGATTTTTTCTCCTAACATTTCTCCTAATGCTACAGCCTCAATCAACATTTAGTCTGCTGTCCAAAGACAGCACTTGACAATTTCACCAAATATTTTATCACCACCAAACAAGTCACCAGCTCTTCAGCCTGTGATATTTGTGTCCCCACTCCCCAAAGCCCTCTTTCCAACAGTAAATCAATTCTGTATATTAGGTTTTGTTATTTGCAACACTCTGCTTTCTGTATCAGTTAAGAATTTCACTTCAGCTGTAAGTTTCAAAGACCCAAATCAGTCTTAAAAAAAAAATCAATTCTAGTTTTCTCTGGAATTTTATTGGTCAGCCGTGGCACAGTGGTTCAAGTTTGAGCTCAAAGTCTCTGATTTTCTTGGCCTCACATGGTCAACTTATTGTCATAAGATGGGCTTTTCCACATCCAGCCCTAGGTGTGAGTTCCAGATAGGAAGACAAAGAAGTGAAAAGGAGAAAAGGGCAAGAAGACTGTCCTACTTTAAGGAGCTTTCCCTGAAGCCTCACATTACAATTTCCACTTACATCTTATTGGCCAAACTCTTGTCATATGGCTTCCTCATAGGAAAACTGGAAAGGTAGTTTAAGCTGGGCATGTCGCTACCCCAAAGTCAGGTTCTGTTATTACTAAGCTCACCCATAAAAAATTCCTATCGAAAAAATTTTAGAAGCATTCCTTAGGAATAACACAAGGGTACTCTCTATTATTTTGTTGGAGATCCTAGCCAATAATTAAAAGAAATAAGATGAATAAAAACTGGAAACAAAAAAAAAAACTTTGTCAGGTGGTATGTTTGTTTACATTTTAAAAATCTACATTTAATAAAAGTTCAATAAGGTTATAGCTACAAGATCAATATATAAAATCATAGTATTCCTATACTACAATAATAACCAATTAGAAAATGTAATAAAAAAAATCTCGTGATAACAATCTACAAGGTAGCTAAAGGTAAAGGAGAATCTCAAAAACTGCAAGAACTTAGGAACTACAGAATATTGAAAGACAAATAGTACATCAGAGTAAGTGAAAAGAATAACCCTGTTTGTCAATAGGAAAAACCTTAAAACTATTCTCCTCAAATCATTCTATAAATTCAGTAAAATTCAGAACAAAATCCCTAATGGTTTTTCTTAGAAGTTAAGTAGATTCTAAATTTTATATGGAAGAGCAAAGGCCCAAGGAACAGAAGGTGGAAGGACAGGCCCTATTTATTACATTTCAAGATTTATTACAAAGCTATATAATAAAGTGTATTAATAGAATGTTATTGGCATGGGTATGGACAATTTTAAGACAACTCAGTACAAAAAGTACTATTAAGTAAATAGTGCTTGCATAATGGATTATCCATGGAGAAAAAATAAAATCTATCTCTACCTTATAGTGTCAGGAGTCCCCAAGACTACTCTCAAGCCAGATAAGTTGTGAGAAGGACTTTCAGAACTCAAAGAAGCTATTATACTCATGGTTATAATTTGTTGAAGTGAAGGGATACAAATTAAAACCAGCAAATGGACAAAGTCCAGAAGAGACCAGGCACAACATGTGCAGAAAGTATTGCCAACCAAGGAACCTCATTCAGTCCAGGGATTTTGCTAGGGTCAGTCACATAGGCATGCAGTGCCCATGTGACTGACCTTAGCCACTCAGTCTCCAATATACCAGAGATCTGAATAGTACCTTATAACCCAGGGCCTCAGGTAAAATAAACACTCACGTAAACATCATATCGTTAGCATAAACTATCTCTAAACTAAAACTGTGGCCCACGGCCTCAGCATACTAAAACACTCATTATCAGGCAGGATCTTCCAAGGGCTCAGAGGTTATGTCCAGGGAGTTAGTCAAGGGCCAGTCCTGAAGACAGGCCTTTCTTTGGAATGCACAGGGCTTGCAACCTGAGCCTGCTGAGTTAACAAAATAAATGTTGTGTATTCAAATAAAGTATAAAAAAGATAAAGATCCTTTAGGCTCACTTTTTTATGCCTCATTTGTAAAATGCTGTGTAGAGAGATTCTGTATTCATGAAATGTTTAGGGAATTTCAGATAAGGAGGATGGCCAGTCCATTTGGAATACGTCATTATTGGTGTATAATGCCGTAAGTGTTATCTTATAAATAGGTCTAATAATTGTTTGCATGTGTGTAATCCTCTCTTTAATGGAATAAAAAGATCTCTTTTTTATTATCAGTCTTTACATTGTCTCTTAATATAGAGCTGTGTATCTTAACCTCAATCTTATGTATTAATAGCAAAAGCAGCCTTGAAAGATGTATTTATAAATCCAATTTATTCCATCGGAAGTGCCTTAATTTAAAAGTTAGTATGGGAATTGTGATATCTATGTAATCAATTAGTCCACTGAAGAAATGACCAAGACTAAGAAGTTTCAGCATTAACGTGAGTAATGGAAGCCACATCACAGAGTTCAACAAAAAACTGGAGAGAAAATGGAGGCAATAGATATAGACATTTATTTAAGGTAGTTGCATGTGAAAGGCAAGAGGGAATTAGGAATTAATAGGAAATACTTTTACTGCCCTCATTTAAAAATGTATTTTCTATTACAATAGTACCCACTTACCTGTGGGGGATATATTCCAAGACCCCCAGTTGATGCTTGAATCTGTGGAAAGTACTGAACCCTATATGTACTATTTTTTTCCTATACATCTTTGCATATGCTAAAGTTTAATATACAAGTTAGGTACAGTAACATAACTAATAGAACAATTATACTCTAATAAAAGTTATGTGAATATGGTCTCTCTCAAAATATTGTACTAAAATTGCCCTTCTTGACAATGTGAGACAACACAATGTCTACATGATGAGATGAAGTGAGGTGAATGACTAAGATATTTTCAGACCATGGTTGACTGTGGGTAACTGAAACCAAGGAAAGTGAAACCATGGATAAGGAGTGACTACTGTACTTACCTCTTAACTCGTCCTTTCCTCTCATTTCCACCTATGCCTCTGCCAACTCCATATCTATTACTGAATTCCGTTCACCCTATAGGGCCTCTTGAAAACATTTCATTCCATTTCTTTTGTCATATCCTTATTAGTTACCTAAACTCTGGCCTTCCAACTGATTTCTCAGCTTTCCCGCTCTAAACTGTCTTGCGCGTCTTTTGCAGATTAGCCATAAACCACTTTCATAATGCCACTCTTATGTTAGAAACAAAAAAAGATTTCAAAAGCTCTCAACTCTTTAGGATAGTTCAAGGGTGAGAAGAGGGGAGCAGATTTTCAGTGTATGATGATTTCTGTGGTGTAAATACCATGACAGATTTCAAGCTGTGGACATCATGTCAACCAGTTCTCATAAAATTTCTGAAAACTTAGCAATCAGTTCTTGCTAGTCAGTACAAGCTAGTTTCCATAATCACTGTCCATGATGCACACCAAATACTGGTGTGCACACCAATCAAATCACACTGTCGTTTCTTGAATAGATCTGGTGTCATGCTCCCTCTGCTCAGAATGTGCTTCCTGAATGCCCCTTTGCCCTCTCCCACTATATACACTAATCATCTTTCGACACAGCTCCAGAGCCACCTTCAGGAAAAGTCCCTGCCCTCTGGAAAACTGATTAGTCACTCTTTTGTGCTCCTGCTTCTCTATGAAGACCTTGAAACTTTCTTTGCTGTAGCTTTGATGCGGTCTCTTCTTACTAGATTGTAGGCTGCTAGAGATCCTAGGCTGTGTCTTTCACTGATCTCTGAATACCAAGTGCAAAATATATGGCCTGGCACTTAGTAGGTGTTGACAATTATTTGTTGATGCAAAAATAAATAAATAAAATAAATACATAAAAAAAAAATAAATAAAATTAATTAATTTTAAAAATGTGCTCAAAGAGTGGTGTCTTTTACTATTTTACTGTTTTTCCCTGGGAAGACATAGTGCCGTCTGATGTGGGTGGTTACACTCAAGCTGAGCCCTAAAAGTCAGGCATTTGAGAAAGAGGGAATTGCATTTCTTTCCCTTTATTGGATAATGGCTTGCTTTATAAATGTGTTATTACTTGTTTTCTTGGGGTGGCTTGGAAACATTTGGAAGAAGGCTCAAAATATGACAGCCTAGAGCTATAAAGCACTTTTTGAGGAAATAATTCCATTTTGAAAACCATACCTGGTGTCTGGTGCTGATTTTTCTTTTTCTTTCTTTTTCTTTTTCTTTTTTTTTTTTTAAGTAATGTTCTACTTTGAACAGCAGTAATGTCTGAACATACCTGGTAGGATTTTGGTGAACTTCACAGAGAGTTGGTGTTTATTTCCCTGGAGCAAAAATTGTTCTTTTGTTGTATAATTAAGGGATAATCACTTTTGCTTTGTAATACATAATTGGATTAAAGCTGTTCTAGAAAAAACTCACACGATACTATGGTGAAAATTGGAAACAAGATTCTATTAAGCAAACTATAATATTGAACTGTTCCCCTTACAAGTTTGAGTTAAATGATGACAATCTTATTATCTAATTGTTGTTGTCTACAAAAGTCTCAGGGAGACAGAAGATAATTTAGAGGCAAATAGTGTTAACCCTTTCCTTCTAACTGCAATCTCTTAAGTTTATTATGATTTCAAACTCATACGTACATACATATACATAGATATGTGTATAAATATACACATACATACCATCTCTGCCAAACCCGTATCTATTTTTTTTGTTGTTTTTGCTTTAAAATATTTTATTGGAATCTTTTGATAAAACCAAGTACTTCTTTTAAGACAAAGTATAGAAGTGAAAGCTAATTGATATTTAAGCACCCCCAAATTTCTAGGCAGTTTTCTGCTCCAAGAAGCTGACAGCTGCTCACACAGGTTAATGCAGGAAAGATGTTAAGTTCCTAGGATCTGCCCAACACCAGATAGAGGGTATCCTTGTCAGCAAAATCCTAGGCGTCCAAGCCATCTCAACAGCACTTCTCCCAGAGGGGTAACCTTAGGCCTTCAGTCACCAGGTTGATGATAAATCTCTGTGAAGGTGCACTGCCCCTGACCGAGCTTCCAGAGCTCATGCTTTATTCAAGGATGACACACTGGTGGACGTCTTAAACTCCTGTGTGGCGCTGCAGATCCGCCTGTGAGAATCTGGGGCCTGTAAAGAAACCCAAGAGTCTGCAAGGGCAGAGGAGACTCCAGCAGAGTTCCCCTGCCCTGGACAGGGTCAGTTAAAAGCAGTAGTGTCACACCCATATCTATTATTGAATTCTGTCTACCCTTGTAGAGCCTCTTGAAAACATGTACTTTCCATTCCTTCTGCCAAGTCCTTATCAAGGTGCCCGATCTCTGGCCTTCCAACTCATTTTTCAACTTCCATCACTTTCTTTTCCTTCTTCTAAACCATCTTGTGCATTTTTACAGACAACGCTTCCCTAATATCACTCTTATGTCCGTGTGGGTATGTGTGTGCTTGTGTGTGTACATACATACAAAAAAGGGTGGGTCAGTTCTGCAGTCAAATCTAGTTTTGTTATGAGGGCTCACATTTTTTTCATTTCTAAAATATGCTAAACTTCCAATTGACCTCTGAAACTATCTGCAGGTGCAAGATATATTATGGTTTGGTTTAGGTTTGTTGTAATCCATTAAACACTATGCTTAGGTGCTAGGGACTCAGAACAGAGATCCTGGTTGTCCTTCAATACTTTTCTTCCATATTATTAGATTATGATTATGATTGCCCAGAATAGATTACTGTATTTCATCAATTATTTTATAAACTACCAAGAAAGAAATAACACCCTAGATGAGTCCAACAGATTACCACTGCATTAAAATGGGCGGCCAAAGTTTACACCTTCAGAGAAGAAATTGAGTCCTACTTTATTCACAAGAAAATTATGGAAGCCCATGTAGAAACGATTTAATATCGAAGTTCCTTTAGTGTTATAAATCCAACCTCGACAGTTATCAAAACTGTTCGGAGAACCACTGAAGTGTGAGCTGGGAGTTTCCTCCAGGTAAAACCCAACGATATCACCTCGCCCGCCACACCTGAGGGCGGACCTCCCAGGCCGGCCGAGCTGGGTAAGCTGGCCAGAGGACCGCCGGACACAGCGAGCGCTCCCGCCGGGGCCGACTCCGGCTCTGAGCCCCCGCGGGTGGACATGGACCCCGCTGGGCGCACCCCGGGTCGCAGGGCGGCAGTGAGAGGGCTGCTGTTCGGGGCTGCGGCGGCCGCGAAGGGGCTTCGAGAAGAAGTGGGGGCCGCGGCGGGCAGGCGCTGGAAGGGTCTGTCAGGGATGCCGAAGCAGGAGGGGCCTCCAGAGGAGGAGGCGGCGGCCGGACACGAGCTCCGTGAGTCTCGGGACGAGGTGGGAAAATCAGGCAGTGGCGGTGCGGGGCAGGCGGTGGGGCGGGCCGCGCCGAGGGCATTCGCCCAGAGAAGGTGCGGGTCCGCGCCTCAGGGCGCCGAGGGGCCGGGGGACGGCGGCTGGCGCCAGGGCTCGACCCTGCGGACCCCGAGCACGCCCTCGCCACCGCGCCGCGTGGGCTGGCTCTCAACTATCAACTCCAACTAAGTTTCGGTTCACCTTTCTCAGGTTGCTTTATTTCAGGTTAAACCTATACTGTGGGTGAAAGGAAAGTTAAGTTACTCTTCTAACTTAAGGGAGAGGATTTTTTATAGAAATGATTAAACTCTTTTGCAAATAAGGAAAGAATATTATGTGTTGTTATCGCCTACATCCTGACTCATGCACTGATTTGTGTGACTATAAAAAAGTCGCTTAATCTTTCTGCACTTAAGTTTTTAAGCATGGAACAGATTACCTATGACTGGGGAATATATTTATAGCGTAAACTGAGGCACGCTGTCTAAGTTTTCGAAAGTTGAGAATGTTCCTCTTTGGTCCTTTGAAGTCTTTTATGTGATTTACAAATATATTCCTCCAGTCTGTAGCTTGTCTTTTTATTCTTAATAGTGCTTTTCACAGAGCAAAGTTTTAACTTTTTATGAAGTCTAGTTTATCATTGTTTTCTTTTACAGTCTGCTTTGCTGTCATGTGTAAGAATCCTTTGCCTAACCCCAGCTTATAAAAATTTTCTCCTGTGTTTTCTTCCAAATGTTTTATAATTTTTGTATGAGGTATGATGTTTACATCAAGGTTCATATTTTTTTTTTCATTTGGATGTCCAATTGTTCAAATACCACTTATTGAAATGATTATCCTTTCTTCACCGACAGGGCCTTCAAATCTTTGTCAAAAACCAATAGGCCATATTTGCGAGGGTTTATTTCTAGACTTGTATTTTATTCCATTGATCTATGTGTCTCTTTGTCAATATCATGCTGTGATTATTGTAGATTTGTAATAAAATTAAGCAGTGTGACTCCTCCAACTTTATTCTCCGTTTTCAAAATTGTTGTGGCTATTCTAGTTCCTTTGCCTCTCCATATAAATTTTGGAATTATCTTGTCTATAGCTACAAAATACCCATCTGGCATTAAATCTATAGATCAGTTCAGGGAGAAGTGACATCTTTATTATCTTAAGTCTTCCTATCCATGGACATAACATATCTTTTCATTTAGATATTCTTTGATTTCTTTCATCAGCATTTAGTACCTTTTTGGTATAGAGAAACTGTACATGTTTTGTTGGGTTTATACTTTAAAAAATTTTAAACCTATTGCAAATATTATTGATTTTCACATTTTGGCTTCCATTTATTGACTGCCAGTTTATAGAAAGATTAATTTTTATGTGTCGACTTTGTGTCCTGCAACCTTGCCAAACTCACTTATTAGTTAGTTCTAGAGCTCTTTTGTACATTCCTTTGGATTTTATATGGACACAATCAAGTTGCCTACAGCTAGACTAGAGACAATTTGATTTCTCGCCAATATTTATGCCTTCTTATTTACTTTTACTGTTTTATTCCACTGGCTAGGACTTTTAGCACAACGTTTAAAAAGAGGAGTAAGAATAGATCTCTGTTCTTGATCTTAGGGGCAAAGAAAATGTTCAGACTTTTATGAATAAGCATGATGTTAGCTGTCAGTTTTTTGTAGATGCCCTTTACCAGGTTGAGGAAAAGTTCCCTTCTGTGTTTGGGATAGAAAGGTTTTGATTTTTCCTGGGACATACTGAAGAGGGACAAAGATCTGGAACTAGAACTTCCTTTCAGTTGGGGCAAGGAGCCGGGGTCAGGAGAGGGAGCTGAGAAAAGTCCAGCCTCACTGGCAGAATGCATTAGCTAAAGCATATGACAGAGTGGGCAGTTTGGATCTCCACTTCAGCAGTCCACTCTCCTGCTGACACCCTGGACATATGAAGTGATTGAAAGCTTGGGATTTGGATTCAGGCTGTCTGGGACAATTCTATCATTTATTATTTTTAAGATATGAGCAAGTGGTTTGACTTAAAGTCTCAGTTTCATCTGTAAGATGCGGGTAATAATGCCTACTCCCATCAGGGTGTTAATTTTATAAAAACCCTACAGTGCTCCAGCATTTGGAGATCAAGCAGAGAAGAGCCAATAAAAGAGACTGGAAAGCACAGGTGGTCTAACAGAAACCTGGAGAAAAACATGTACAAGGAGAGTGTTATCATCCATGTCAAATCTGCAATAAGTTCAATGCACATGACAGAGAAGCGATGACTGGATTTTGGCAAATCTTGATCTTGACCCTGACAAGAGCAGTAATAGGAACACTATTAGCATAGGTTGGATGAGACTATGAGAAAAAGTGGAGCCAACAATTCCAGAACACTTATAAGTTTGGGGATGACAGGAGTTTGAGAAGTGAAGTGGCAGTTGGAAAAGAATGTGAAATTAATGGAGAAGTTTTCTTTCTTTACATTGGAGGTATTTTAGCATCTCTGTATATTTTGGAGTGAATGATTAAATGATGCAGAGGAGAAAGGAGATAATTTTCTAGGAAATGGATATATGAACTAATTGAAAAGATGAGAAAGGATGGGATCCAGAGCTCAAGTGGAGGGGATGGCCGTGGGTAGGGATGCTTCTTTGATTGTAACAGTAATAAAAGCAGAGAGTGTAGGTATAAAGGTAGGTAGGAAGATAGACTTTTTGGTGGGAAGATGTGGGAATTCCTATCTGATTGCTTCTACTTTCTCTGTGCAATGTTATAAACTGAGAATTAGATGATGGACACGTAGCTCAATTAGTAGGTTAAGATATTCGAAGAGAAAGAAAGAGGCATGAAATTTTGGAGAATGGAAGACTAGGGAAATACAGTGGGAATGCTGTGCTCAGGTCCTTGAGATTAGTGGGTAAGAATTGAGGCCTTTGTTAGTTATGTGTAGCACGTTAGTATGTGTGTTAGTCAGGATAAGCTAGCTTTTCCTGCAGCAACAGTGACCTCTAAATCTGAGTGACTGGATATAGTAAAGATCTACTTTTTGCTCACGTAACATGTCTTACATGGGGTGATGAGAGCCTCTGTTTTACCTAGTCTCTCAAGACACCACATGTCAACAACTGTAAAGGGGCTGAGATTTTCCTCTCCTTACAAACTAATAGGTTAGCCTACTATGGTATCATAGATGCTGGCAGAAGACACTTCTGGATCAAATACAAAGCATTTTATTACTCACAATAGTAGCAATATCCAGTGTTAGCATTTGTGTCAGTGTTTTTCAGGCCCCAGGGAGATGCAGAAAGTGCCAAATATTATAAAAGTGATACCTGTACATGCAGCGGGTTGTGTTCCAGGAGAACCCTGACTTAGGAAATCTAAATCTTTTGTAATGGACAGGAAGCATGCCTCACTCTCACTATCTTTCAGGCTGTACCTTGCTCCAGAGGAAGACATTATCTCTTTCTTCCAGTGCAATTCACTACATATATAACCTTAAAAGATAGTCCAGAACAAAGGCAGTCAGTGCTTCTGCTTGTAAGGTTTGCAGAAATGCAAGAGACTCATGGAGAATTGTCTTCCAATACCATAGTAATGGAGGCGCCGCCGTCTTATGACTTCTATTAGTTGGTCAGGGCTCCCATAACCAGCTACCACAGACTGGGTGGCTTAAATAACAAAAATTTATCTCACAGTTCTTGAGGCTAGAAGTCCAAGATCAAGGTGTCAGTAGGGTTAGTTTCTTCCAAGGCCTCTCTCCTTGGCTTGTAGATGTCTTCTTTCCCTCTGTCTTCACATAGTCTTCTTCTGTTTTGTCTATATCCAAATTTCTCTCTAATAAAGACACCATATTGGATTAGGGCCCATTCTAATGACCTAATTTTAACTTAATTACCTCTTTGAATAACCTGTCTCCAAATATAGTCACAATTTGAGGTACAGGAGGTTAGAACTTACTTCAAAACATGAATTTTGAAGGGATACAATTCAGTCATAATATCCCTACATATAAACACTTGGCTTCCAGGATTGAGAAGACTTAAGGAGAGAGACCTGGAGGGTAACACAGGGGCTTTTCATTGGTCAGCTCTGTAGTGACACACCATCACTTCTGCTGTCAGGCCATACCTCACCTAACCGCATCTAGACTGGAATATGTGCTTATCCATATGTTCAGATAGGAGGGAAGAACCAGATATTGATGAACACCAGCAGCGTCTACCACAGCATGGTTGTGTGTTTTCCACCAGTACCAATTAGTTATTCAGGTGTGAAAACGGGAGAGTTTAACTTCAGAATTAGGATTCTGACCAACTAGTCTGATAAGAGAACGGTGAGGGAGGTAAAGGTGTTTGCATGGAAGTGATTTCAAAGATGAACTGTGGGATCTAAACTGGGTAAGTAGGGAAGTAAGGACATAAGAGATGAATGGTATGAAAAGATGGTGAGAGCAGTGTCTTGGAGAACTTGATAAGGTTGCAGAATTTCCAGACTGGCAGAACTTGAGGAGGTGAGCTGACTGGATGAGAGATGATGTTCAGAGAATGAGATTCTTGGAGAAGCCAGAAATAGTGTCGTTTTTGAGGATGACCCTAAAGTTGGTGGCTGAGGTTAGGTAGAGGAAAAAATTATTAGAGGCAAGGGAGTTAGGGAACTGAGAGACGAAGGTATTGGATTAATCATCTCCATGGATGTTTAAGTCACAGAGTGGTAACAAGAGGAGGGGTAGAAAGGAAGAGAAAGATCCAGGTGGTAGAAAGAATAAATGCGTGTATCACCCATGAAGATACTCCCTTGTCTTTGACTGACTGGACTTGGTGCTCTAAAGAGTCTTTGGCAGATACTAAAGAAACTACTTGGCACCATATCTACAAAACCTCTCTTAGGGTCATGTCTTTTTGGAAATGGTCTATTGCTGATTTCACATCATTCTAGTTTTGACCTTATCCCCTAATGTTGAGGCTGTCCCCTGAGAGCCTTCCAGCTCCTCTACATGACCCCCCCCCAAAAAAAAAACACCCCAGTAAATCCTGGAATCTTCTCTATGCTAGTTGATAAAACATGCCGTATGAATGTATGTGTGTGTGTGTGTGTGTGTGTGTATATATATATGTGTGTGTGTGTGTGTGTGTATATATATATGTGTGTGTGTGTGTGTGTGTATATATATATGTGTGTGTGTGTGTGTGTGTATATATATATGTGTGTGTGTGTGTGTGTGTATGTATATATATATATACACACATATATATATATATGATACATAATGTTTGCAGTAGGTGTGAATCTACTTTTATCTCCTTTCATGTAAATGAGAATAAAACATGTTCATCCCTTCTAGCCTTTGTATATATGTTTATATGATGTGCTGCAGGCCTGGCATCTGCACCGGGTTCTGCAGAAAACAATTTTATCTCTGTATGGAGTGTTTGGGCTCCTCCCTATCTAATCTTGTACAAACATTTTACAAACATCCCCTGGGAAGTTCCTGGCCACCCTCTGACCTCCTTGAGCCAGATACTACATTGCTGACTTCAGGGTGGTCCTCAGAAATAATGTTTTCTTTGGGACTAGGAATATTTTTGAGAGTGTGAAAACACTTGTAGAGCAAAGAGAAAGTGGAACCTTAACACTACAGCTTTATAAACTATTAACGCTAAGTTCGAGAAAGGCTCAAGGCTGTTGTTTCAAGTTTTTGGAGTTAAAAGGTTTACCAAATGAGGTTTGCTTTCTCTTCTTCCTTTAATTCCCTCGGTCATGCTTGCTTGCTTTCTTTCAGTACTGCCAAATGAGAGAAACTTCCATGATGCTGCTAAAAGCAATCATTTGGATCTTATGGAGAAGCTGTTTGAAAAGAAGGTTAACATTAATGCTGTGAACAATGTGAGTAGAAGCCACAAAGTGACAGCGACCACTCTAAGGGTGGCTTGGGTTTACACAGATCGACTGAAATATAATAAAATTTAAAAATGACGACGGTGTTGGATGAAATGTGAGAGATCTTCTTCGTTGGTAATTCTAGAGTGTTTATGCTAAAGGTAAATCGAGCGCTGAAAAACAGGCTCTGGGTGTTTTATCTGATCAGAAGGGACATGCACAGAGTCTTTATGCACATCTGTACAAAGTCTGTGTATGGGCAGTAAAGGCAACTGTCAAGGCTATCAGCCTGGATTTCATTGTGGATTATAGCCTGTAGATCACTTTGGCCTCATGCATTCTAGAAAGGCAGAGCATCTTTTGCTACACAATCTGGGTTGATTTCTCTTTAGTGATATGTCCTTTGTGGTTGGTTCTTCCAAATTTAAAATCTAAAGGAGTGTATGGATTTTCATTTTATTGCTTTTGAAATATGGTACATCTTCATGCTGGGCAGTGGGGCCCTTTCTGAAACTTGGCTCTTACTTCTTCTTCAAGTGCTTGGGTTTAGGGAAGAAGTCTACTGCCAGAATAGGAATTTGCTACTATTTGGTTTTATGCAGATTTCCTGCCAGCTCTGCAAAGCAGGTTTATTAAAATGAATGGGGCTATATCAGTTGCCTAGGACAATTTGTAGAGTGGTTCAAGGTCAGGAAGGTAGAGGTAGATTTAACGCTAAATGAAATAGAAGCTTTAGGGCCCCTACTTGTACAGGCCCCTTCCAAGGAACTCAGAGGGTTCTAGCAATGTAGTCCCATGGTTAAATGATTTTGTAAAATCTGAAAAAGAAATTTTAACTACATCAGTGAAGTTTTCTGACTCTGGCTTTAAAATGGGTTCCCTAAAGAGTAGAAACTTCAAGTTCCATGAAACTTGAATTTGTCCCAAGCAGTGAGGTCATAGAAACTGAAGTCATGCGTCAAATGCAGTAGAAGGATGTTTAGCAGTTGTACATGTGTGTATGTGATGGGGTGTGTGTTTATGAGTATGTGGGAATTTATGTGTCTACGTGTATGTTGTGTGCATGCATATGTCTGTCTCTGATGTGTTATGGGTGTATATATTGTTCATTGTTTACAGACAGCCTAGAAAGAGTAGAAAAAGAGCAAATTTTGCAGCACAACAATTTTAGGAGCAAAAAAAAAAAAAAAGGGAAAGAAAAGGAATCAAGGAAGGAAAGGAGAGAAAAAAATAGGCAAGGATCTTTGAAGATAATATCTAGATTAATTGTTGAATAAGTAAAGCAGTAATCATTTTTCCAAGTAGCAGAAGATAGATTCTTTAGATTCTTCAAAATACTTATATAACCATTTAAAATTTTTTCACATACAATTTTCTGGTATCTTAAACCACATTTTTATATTAAAGTACTTGGAGAGATACTACAACCTAGACTACTTTAACTTACTTGTCAGTGTGGCAAATTATTATAAACTCCAGATGAATTATATTACATTTTCTAATGGCATCTCTTTTAGGCCTGTTTACAGCAAATCATTGACATAGTTACCTGTAGAGTTCCTTAAAATCTGTGATGATAGAAATGAAAAAAAATGTAAGTGGTTTAGTTGAATTATCTTGGATGCTGTTTTGGTTTGCATTTTTATTCACAAATAAAGTTGTGAGGGGATTGTATAAGCCCAAATTTAACATACTAGAACATAGCTCTAGATTGTAGACAATACCAAGATAACTAATGTTTTGTCAAACTTAGTTTATAACCAGTTTAGCTACCAAAGAAATCAGATGTTTAATTTAAACAGTTCTCATATTTTTGTGATAAATTATTTATGTGGAACAAAGGACAGTAAATCCATCCCCAGTCACCTTCTTTGGAAGCAAAAAAGTGTCTAGAATATGGGAAATATGACATGTGTTTTACTTACAGGCAAAATATCCATCGTCTGAAACACAGACTGTTTCTGGACATCTCAGAAGCACCATGTGGCTTTCCTTTGAAGCAAAAGATAGTCATAGCTTTCTTCCTCTGTGTCTCTTTCTTTCTCCTCCCTCCCTCCTTTCTTTTCAGAAACAATTTGTTTATTTGCTTCAGTAAAATTTACAGTCCAAAAAATTACAGAAGAAAAACCATGTATGTATTAAATATCTAGGAAAATTTTTGTTATGCATTATCAATATATTCTAACCAGAAAACATTTACTATTATTAATGATCGCTTATGACGGAAAATACAACTTTTACTCTCTAATTGAAATCCATTATATTGTTACCAACAATGATAGGTTAGGCAATGGATATCAGCTTGAGGCATATTCTCCACTAGACTGCCAAATTCTGTTATTATCTAATAACAAATGAGGCACGATTATGCCGAATACAATTCTCACTACTTTCTAAGGCAAAAAGAACAAGTAAATAATAAAAATACAAACACCTGATAGAAAATCATGGTCATTCAAGAAATAGGGATCCTTAAAAGGCTAAATACTAATCAGATAACTGAAAACACAAATTATGTTTCCTCAGATGAACCGCACAGCCCTGCATTTTGCAGTGGGGGCAAATCATTTGTCTGCAGTGGATTTCTTACTTAATCACAAGGCCAGGGTGGATGTTGCTGATAAGGTAAGCTCATCTTCCTTTTACAGAATGAATTGGAACAGAACCAATGTGTAAGGAAATCTGGTCACTTTGGTTATCTTTTCTTTACGTACACACAAATTATTTCCAGAGGCATGGTTCATTTTGGAAAGATCTCTTTAGATAATATATAGTTTATATGCTCTTTGTATTTGGTGACTAACTCATTTGCTCATTACCTATAGGACCTAGGCTTCTATTTATTTTCCCATATTGACCTTATGGCCAGTAGCACGTATTTGTAAGAATAAGATGGTTGCCCAGAGTATAATTTAGGACACAGAAGACAGAAGCTAACTGGCCTCAGGGGCGTTAAATCTTGACTTGCCCTGTGAACTCCTGGTAAATAAATAAGGCTTATTATACACATAGTAGGGCTTATTAAACACATAGGCACCTGTCTCAAGATTTTAATATTTAGCCCTCTCAACCTTATAAGAAAAGTAATACTTTAATACCCAATTTACAAATGAGGAGCCTCATACACAAAGAGGTTAAATATCTTGCCCCAAAAATTACATCTAAGAAGGATTGAGGCAGGATTTGAATCTGCTTAAGTGATTCAGAGACCATGCCATTAGCCACAAATCAGCCGATTTGTTTGTCTAGATAGCAAAACCCACCTTAAGGATTTTCCACCTACTTCTCCCAACTTCATTTCTCCTTTCCAAGTGGCACAAGGAAACCACTTGGAAAGGAGAAATCCAACATGTTTTTCATCTCCAGTTACAGAAAAAGATGAAAGCCTTGGTTGTTAGTAAATTCAGTGAACCATGGTTCTTAAAGTTAAACTGTTCAGAAGATTCCCACAGAGCTATTCTGATTTCTCTCGAAACTGACTCTTTGGAGGGTGAGGCTCAGCATTCTTTACCTTCATGTCTTACAGGGCTTGGGTTTAGTATGTGTGTAGTAAGTCTTTGGAAGATAAATGAATAAAGTCAGTTCAAACCAATTGGTCATTTTGTTGGTTTTGTTGGTAACCATGGACATGGCCTGGACCTGATAATGATGAAAATTTTTCTTTGTTTCGCCCAGGGTACACTTCTGTATTTGAGCTGCTATGGGTCCAAGTGGGACGGTATGGAAGGAAAATACAAAACAAAACAAAAAGGACAGGAACCCCTGATTGCTTATATTTTGAGTTCTGGTTTTCTTCTCCCAATCTACCTGCTACTGTTTACTTCTTAGAATTCTCAAATAGCTGCTCCATGCATTCTGTCCAGAGATTTTAGTCTCATTTGGTGAGAGAGACAGGGTCTAGTGACTTACTCCATCTTAACAAGGACCAAAACCCCAAATCTTTAACATTTCGTAAAAGTAGAAAGAATTGTACAATAAACAACCATATATCTATCCATTGCCCAGGTACAATAACATCTTTTCTTTTAAACAGCATATCTGAGGATTGCCATGTTTCTAATATATTAAATATACTACTGGCTTATGTTAGAATGCAAGTCAGTTATTCCCGAAACGTTTTACCAATTTGTTTTCTTTGAGGCCTTTCGCATTTGGAATCCACTTCTTATAACCTGCCTTGTGAGATTGAAATGCTTTCAGGTGAAAAATTTAGTAATTTCTGAGATATTTCTATACTATGCTTTGATAGTTTCACTAAGTGAAATATTTCAATAACTAATTTAAGTATTTACAGTAGCATTAGTCCATAACTAACAAAATGATTTTTATAATTCAAGCAATGCTTTGTTTGGTTAGACCCGGCACTTCTTCATCTGAATGATGAGCCCTGAGTTTGACTTGGCAGATCTGTCTTATAAGTTCTAACATCTACTTGCAAAGAGCGAACAATTGAACCCCTTTGCCATCAGTATTTATTCAGTGTCTATCGTGGGTAAGTCTCAATGCCAGCTACTGGGGATTCAACTAAATATAAGTTCTTGCTCTTTCAAAGTGTGGTTCTGGGACCAGAAGCACTGGCATTACCTGGGAGCTTATTAGAAATGCAGACTCTCAGGCCTTCCCTCGACCTCTTGAGTCAGAGTCTGCAATTTAACAAGATCTCCAGGTGATTGTGTTGGGAAGCACTGGCATGAGCTACAGTCCCTGCTTTGAGGGGCCTATGGTCTATTGGGAGAGCAAGAACTGGGGCTGTAGCAGATGTGTGCCATTCAGGGCACTGCATGCTAAGGATCAGATGCATGGCCCAGACACTGAGGACTCCAGGTTCAAAGTGGGCGGCATCCGCAAGTCTTGGGAAGAAGACGACTAAGTAAATGGAGGCTATTCCTCCAGATGTGAACAAAGGATCTAAGAAGAAGTTCCCGTGATGCTCAGAGTTTCTTATTTCTGGAAAACTCCTCAAATGCAAGAATCCCCCAAAAGAAGTTATTGACCTTCTCACCTATGACCAGATGTAATGAGGACAGGTTATCAGTGACGGTGGTCATTTTACACTTTATAAAGCATCATGTACAAACTGTGAGTATAATCCATGACATGTGCTCATAAAATGTCTCAGGCATGTCAGTTTGATATCAGAAGACTTAGTTTTATGACGGTTCTTGTGGGGGAATTGATATCTGTGAGGAGTGATTCTTTGCCTCTGAGGAACGACGGTTGCAATCGGAATTTATGGTTTCAGGGATTCAGGTTGTTTGCATCCTGAATTCCTGGCTTTTGGATTTTATGATCAGTGTTTGAAATCTTTAAGTGTTGGCAGCTTTGGAATTAGGAATGACGTCTTAGGAAAACTTTGAGCTCCTATCAAAAACGTGATTTATACTCTGTCCCAAATATCTTTGGCCTCTTTTTTGATCATATGTGAAATTGGATTTAGCGTTACTGAATATAGAGCATTTATTTGTAGGGAAGGCTAAATTCAGGGGTGGAACTGTGTTTAGGGTGCATTTCTTGAAGAACCTCAACTTGTCATTGTACTTTATTGTTCCTTGGGGAAAAAAGTGTGCAGAAATTGGTAAATATTTTTTTTATACTGGAATTGTAATAGACTTAAATAGACTATGTAGGCCTAACTATATAGTACACATCAGCAACAGTGTAACATTTTTTCCCAAATATTTTCAATTTATGGTTGGTTGAATCCATGGATGGGGAGCCAGTGGATATGGAAAGCTGACTGTACACACACACACACACACACACACGAGTTTTTATAAAATAAATGAGATTATATTATATTTTATTCGTATCTTATTTTCTAAATTTAACAGCTACCTCATGGAAACCTCTCCAAGTCAATTGTTATAACTCTAATTCATGATTTTTAATGGTCGCATGATGTGGTATGAGTGTTCCCTAATTTGTTCTGCATTCCTATATCGATGGACATTTACCTTGCTCCCAGTTTTAAGGGTTACATTTAATATCCTCATTTACATAACATCAGTTCCTAAAATTTATTTTTATGGGATAGATTCCCTGGATTGGGATTGCTGGTTGTATTAAAATTTTAATAGATATTACTAGATCGTTTAAACTCTAATGGTTTCATTTCTACTAATACTTTTAAATGAGAACCTGTTTTGGTTCATTTTTCAATAGATTTAATTGCCTTTTTCTTGTTGGTTTGTAAGAGTGCTTCATATATTAGAGAAAGTAATCATTTAATCTTTATCAAGAAACATTTAAAGAATGTATCATTTGTTTATTGACTTTGTTTATCATCAGTCTTTGCTTTTATAACTCCTGGGTTAAGACACTGTACATTATAGTCTAGAGTTTCTTCTAATATATTTATTGTTTATTTGCTTTTGTGTGTGTGTGTATATGTGTGTGTGAGATGATATAGGAATTACTTTTATTTTCTTCCAGATGGAGAACCACTTGTGCCTGAACTATTTATTAAATATATTTATCTTCTCCATAGAATTAAAACATCATTTCTGCTGTATGTGAAATTCTCTCCCTATTTCTTAATTATCAACAGTTGAATATTAACTTGGCTTTTGGTGAATTGAGATCATGTGTTGTGGCTCATTCAAGTGATGGATTCTTTTATTCTCTCTTCTTGGGACAGCATGGCTTGACAGTAATTCACCTTGCAGCCTGGTCTGGAAGCCTCGAGATCATGCTCATGCTGGTTAAAGCTGGAGCAGACCGAAGAGCAAAGAATCAGGTAAGTATGTAAGTCACCTGGACATAAGCTCTCCCCTCACAGTGCAGTAGGGGGAGGTCCTGACATTACTGTATAGTCATCTCCTCCACCTTGGCTCTCTTCAGGATGGAATGAATGCCCTCCACTTTGCAGCTCAGAGCAATAATGTACGCATTGTGGAGTACCTCATTCAAGATCTGCACCTGAAGGACCTGGACCAGCCAGATGAGGTGTGTTTGCTGTGGTACGACAGGTCTTGAATACACCTCCACCAAATTTCACTTTGTTCCTGTCCCTTCTAGAATTTCTAAAGCAGCCAGCACAGACAAACCTGGCCCTGTAGTTAGCTCCTCCATCACCCTGGCAGACCATAAAGCAAAAAGGAAGTGTAGGTGTTGGTGGTAGGCCTGGCACCTGCATTTGGGGAAGGCAGGAAGTAGTAAAGAAGCCACCGAATTTCTTCTTCCCTCTCTACTCTCTCATACTGGCCAGGGTGTGGATAGTATCTACCCTGTTTGGTATTCAGAATGGGTGACTTCATTTTACTCTGTTATACCTGGCCTTTTGGAATGTATTTGCCCCAAGGCTATGCAGTAATGAGCCACAGTATATAATGCAATTTTACCATATTTGTCAATATTCCTTTTCTTTTCATAAGGATATATATAATAATAACAGCTACCATTTATTGAGTATCTATTAGTGGGCTAGGTACCCAGGAAAGTTACTTACATACATTATTTCAGTGAGAGGCTAAGGCCTGGCACATATGGATGCTTAATAAATTATTGCTGAGTGAGTGAACTATCCTTTTAATCCTCATAATAATCATATAAAGAAGGAAATATTTTGCTTATTTTTAAAGAGTAAGGAAGTTGAGACTCAGAGAGGCTAAATACCTGATCCAAAGTCCCCAAACTAGAAATTGACAGAGCGGGGATTTGAGTTCAGGTCTGGCTGACTCCAGTCACCGCACTGCACTGTTCTGTCTCCCTTCTTCGATGACAGTGGGCATTGCCCATGTGCGAGGCTATCTTCTTTGCAATATCCCCTTCTAGGCTTTTCTTCATAGTATAGTATTCTCTGTGGAATTAAAGTGTTATTTTGAACAGGACTGCCTTTTTCACTGTGCCTCTAGAACATTATTTTCCATAAAAGTCTCTCTAGAAGTTAATCATTAATATTCACTTCAGGCTGAAGAGGCTTAAATATCAAAGTAGGTTTGTAGGGACCCTTCCCCACTTCTGGAGCTTCTGCTGGCCAGCAGCCTTCTTGTCCATCATCTTTTCCACTGGGTTTGTCTGGGTTTGCCCCGTCTCACCCCTCTTCCTTCTTCACTCGCTTTCTGTTGGGGAAAAGGCTGAGCAGCCCTGGCAGGATATTGTGCAAAGCCACATGTCCAGCTGAAAGACCGTAAAATTAAGATAGGTTCATAGACATATAAGGAATGAGCAAATAATGAGTCCACTAGGTTGTCTAGGGAGAAAAAGATCTGTGAGTATACTTAAAATACTATAAGAAACTTGGATTAATTAATGCAAAAGACAGAGTCTACTCTTTTTCTGAGATCTGTGAGTGGGGTCAGGGACATTGGCAAAAGCCAGTAGGAACTGGGACCAGGAGCTCAGGGTCTGTTAATTCATCGCTGGGTTTTCCATTATTATTTGCTTAAAAGTATCGTGGAGCTCATGAAGCATATTTGATAGAAAAGCCTGCTCCACCTTCACAACAGGCCTTCTTGCCTAGTTTCTTATCAACAGGAAGTGACTGAGAGCCTGTTTACCTGCCCAGGGTTAGTAAAATCCTCTAGTTAGCCAGGAGAGAACTCCAAAAGCTAACAAGGAAAGCCTTACTGGGTAGAGGTCTTTATTAATAAAAAGGATTTAACTAGGCCTGGAGATTTTGGGTGGGGATTAGAGAGATGAAGAACACTGGAAAATATTTTGAATTTCTCCTAATTCTATAGCTATGGAAATCATGTGGCCTCTCCAGGGGAGAGAGATTAGAGCAGTCAGGAGAAGTTACAGGTATAATAGTCTAAATATTTTGAATCTACATGTAAACTTCCATCTAGTGGTCAAAAATAAGTACTCAGACTAAGAGAGGGGGCACAGAAAGGAATAGTCTCAGAGACCATTCATATACTTGTTGAATATTTACAAAAGTTTGGTGGTACAGTGTTAGGTTGGTTTTGGCTGCAGATGTATGGGGACTTCCGTTTCTGTAAAGGAATCCATATAGGAAGTTTCTAGAGATCAAAATGCAAAGCTTCCTTTTTTGGAGGGTTGGGAATAATGAGTTTGAGAAGACATATTTTCTTATATGGACCTGAAGGCAGTATTTAACAGCCTTGGATTTAATCAAACCTATTGGCTCTGCATGCAAGGGGAGAGAGAACTAACCCTCACCCACACCAGTTCCACGCCTTCATATTTAACCCACGGCTCTTTCAGCACTTTTTACATCATGGCAATGTTCTTTCTCCTTCTCTAGTTATTTAGGGTCCTGCCAGTTTCCCCCTTTTGCTGGGGTTCTGCTTTGAATTTCTGATACCAGGGTAAGAGAAAAAGTCATGCAGCGTAGATATATGCATGAAGCACTGGGGCCTTTGTGCTGGGTTCCACCCTCTACTCAGAGGCTCTCCAGGGCACATCTCTGGGATCCCTGCGGGAAAAGATGGTGAGGTTGGACTTTGGGTGCCCATTTAATGTCTGTTAATGAAATTTTTGCCAAATTTGGTAAATTGTCAAATTTGATAATTCTTAAAAATGGAAAATAATTTCTAATAAACAATTGCAACTCCTCAGACTTATTAACATGCAAGCAATTTAAATGCACTAAATTAGAACATATTAGGTTAAATACTGATAAAGTGAATAAAGGAAAAATGAACAGGAATTCTGGGCCTTCCTTATTTTCATTAATTAGGAATCAGGATCCTGAGCTTGGAAGGCGTTGTGATTTCTCTGGGGTTTGAAGTCTGGGGCCTTGACACCAGGCTCTACTCTTCTCCTGGTAGGAAAATCTCCATTTCCTTGTCTTCCAAGGGCGGGGCAGTCCTTTGAGACTGTACTGGATAGAGGCTTATCCAGTTAAAAAGGGTTGGGTGGCTAAAAAATGAAATAAGACATGATAAGAGACTATATTTAAAACAGACATATATTTTTTGAAATTCCTGTTGTTATTTTACCTAATAATATGTACTTGGAACTGGAGAAAAGATTTATATCTCATTTTACTGTTACTTCATCTTTCTTTATGCTGCCTTTTGATATGTTTATGACATATAGATTACTTTAAATGTCCTTATTTTCTATAATTTGGCTTTCACTTTTTGTTGCTGTTGATAACATTTTTAAAGGGTATCCAAAGTTTAAAGTAACAACTGTTTTCTTGGAGAGGAAAGATGTTTCATTTGCGATAACCTCCCAATTCTTACCAGACTAGGCTTTCTTCCTGAGTGGATCCTCTTTCAGTTTGTTTTGATATGCAGAAACCCAAGTCATATCAACAGAGTAAAAGAATAAGGCCATTTTAAAGTTGAATAAACCCCTAATATTTCTAGTAGTGTTTGTCCCCAAACTGCTAAATATGTATTTGTTTGAATTCTTTCTGTTATGAGTGAAAAAAAAGTCATCTTAATCTAGATTAAGCAATAAAGATAGTTTATTAACTCCTAACTAAGGAGTTTGAGTGTGTATCTTGCTAGCGTGGGATATGGCTGGATCCAGCTCTATTTTTCCTTCAACTCTTGGCTGTGTGTTGACATTATTGATAAGTATACCCTCCACATGGTGAGAAAAATAGCTGCTAGCAGCCTCAAGTTTATATTCTGATGGATGTTCTTATGGATTTTAATTCCTAAGAAAGTTTTTCTCTCATGAAATTTTTATATATAAATCTCAGAAACAACTTTTTTGGCCCTGCTTAAGTCATAGGCACATTCCTGAATCCATTATGGTGACCAGCGTAACTGTGATCACTCCATGCGGCAAGTAAGGCCTGGCAATTGACAGTATTAAATGGACTAAATGGCAGGGTATGTGTGTGTATGTGGGGGAGTTTTCTAAAGGAAAACTAAAATGCTGTTACTAGAAGAAAAATAAATATAGAGACAAGCAACAACTAGCCACTCTAGGACATAGCACCTCATGTATTATTTATGGCCTCTGTGGGTAAAGGGCTTATAAAACCCCTTTGCCTGCTTTTTGAGAATTTAAACTTTGGATAACTTTCTGGCTCTGTGTTCCCGCAAATGAGATAAAGATACACTATTAACTGTTACTGTGGAGCATTGTTTGTGATAAAAATGACCCCTAATTGGTAAATTGCATCTGGAGTCGTAGGAACTGCAAATGAACTACAAATACCAGAGGGAGAAGGCACACTTTGGGCTTCTTTGAGTGTAGTGACTCTCATAACTAACTGGATATGTGCCTTGTGGGGACCTGGCAGCAGTGCCCAAGAAGTTTTTACAAGAGATATTTGCTCTTGTGGAGTATACCCGCCTTCTAAGCCAGGGTGGCTCCCACATATCCCCAGTGTAGATCTTGTCACTTTGCAAATAGCTGTTACCTGAAAGGCCAAAGACAATAGCTCCTGAGCAGCTGTGTGGACCATGGGAGGAAGAGGAGCAGCTGATGCTGACAAGCTGTGGTTCATGTCCTACATCTTCCGTGTAGACTGGTGCCAAGTATGGCCTGTGATAATTTTGTGAGTCTGAAATGTTTAGTGGTCTTGCTTTTTCAATATGTATGTAATAAAAGCTGGAGGTTTATGTTTGATTTTCAGAAAGGAAGAAAACCATTTCATTTGGCAGCTGAGAAGGGTCATGTTGAAATGGTAGAAAAACTTATCTTCCTTAATCTGTATACTTCAGAAAAGGACAAGGTGAGTTGGACTTTTATTTCTTTAAAAAATAAGAGAAAGGGGAGTGACAGTTGGTGCATATTTTGGGGATGGCATTTTGGTCAGCAGTAGAGTTGTTCATTTGTTACTACAGCCAGAATCATGGGATATCTAGATGAAATGAACCTCCTTTTGCATTTGGTCGTACAGATTGCCAGTATTTGCTCCATAAATGGTTGCAAAGTCAATAGACGACACAGATTTTTTCCACTGTTAACACCAGTCCTCTCTTTTCTTCTCCTGAGGTCTGCTGGAGACTGAGCCCCACCTGACTGGGGCGGGAAACCCTAGGTGGCCATTCATATCTACATACACATCTTTGGTTGTTTTCTTAGGGGAAATTCTTAGATGTGGAATTGTGGATCAAAGAGTTCTGCACACTTCAAATTCTTTTCGTGTACATTGCTAAAACTACCTCCTAGAAATCTTTCAACAATTTACCTTCACAAAGGTTATATGGATTTACTTTTACCGTCCCACTTTTTGCTAGAAAATTAGCAGCGAATGTTGAACAGAGAGTGTGGAGAGTTTTTCCTACTGGTTCAAACAGCTATGTAGTTTCATTTAAAGCTTGAAAAAATTACATTTCGCTTAAACTTGTGGATAATGTGTCTCACACTGGATCACAGCTTTAGCCAAATAAAACCTCCCAGAAGCCCCATTGCTGCCTGACCAGTGCAGGGTGTGTGTCTGTGTTACAGGAGGGGAATGCTGCCCTGCACCTTGCAGCAAAACATGGCCACAACTCTGCGGTACAGGTGCTGCTAACACAGTGGCAAGAAATTAATGAGACCAATGAGGTATGTGGAGGTGCTCATTATAGGTGGGCATGGGGCTCACAAGTAGAAGGGAGGGAGAATGGCTTTCAAGAAAGGAATGGGAGGAAAACAAAGATGTTAGTGCCACAGGGTATAGAATATAATGCTAAAAGATTCCTACCTTTTCCTTTAAAGTAAACCCACAGCAATTTATTTATTAATCCATTCATTAATTCACCCATTCATCCAAAAATGTTTAATATGTGCTCTGTGCTAGGTAGGGTATGCATTCTTATTCTAGAAGCGGGTAAAAAGGGCATGCCAAAAGTAACATATTGGGCTAAATGCATAATAGATATGTGTACAGTATACTGTGGGGACACAGAAGAAAATCTATTTCAGAAATTGGACAGTCTTCACAGAGGAGGTGATATGTTTTCTTTGTCCTGGCATTGAAATGGACATTGGTAAGAGGAGGTTTGAGGGGGCCATAAACATAGAGTATTTTAGACAGAGGGAAGAGCCCTTATAAAGGAACCGAGGCAAGAAAGAGCATAGTGTGTCTTGGGAATGACAAGTTCGGAGCAGAAGAAATTGAGGACTCTTGGGCCAGGAAGGGTGGGAGCTGAGTAGGCCAAGGCAGAGAGGTGATGAAAGGCTGTGCTTACCAGGAGGAGGTACTGGCTTTGACCTGTTGGCAGCAGAGACCTGGAAGAGTTTTAAGCAGCAAAGAGGGGTGAAATTCATCTTGGGTATAGGCAGGTAACTGTCACAGTGGTTTAAGGGGTGGGGATTGGTGCCTGGAGAGTTTTGAGGTGGGGAGTCAGGTAGGGTGCCGATCCCTGAGCTGTGAAGCACAGGGGAAGAGCAGGTGAGTGAGTTTGGTAATGAGAGTTTGGATGGGTTCATTTTGAGGCACCTGGGGCAGAGGAGAGATGTATGTTTAGGTGGAGAGCAGTAGAGAGAAATAAACTATGTCTGGGGTTCACTGGAGAATAGGGAAATAAAAATGATGTCTGACTTTAGTGGAATGTAGGGAGAGAGAAACTGGGTCTGGGGTTCAGTAGAGAGGATGTGGCTGTGGAAGTAAATTTTTGAGTCATCTGCTCTAGGTAGTCACTTTTTAACCTTTGGGTCAATGAGTTTTTGGCTCGTTCTTTGGAACTCAGGTGAGTGGAGTCCTCTTGGACTTCGTGATTTAATGTTCTGATAAATTCTAAACTTGACATCTCTCCTGAAAGACACTATAAGAAGTAACATACGGTATTCATTTAAGACATCATTGACTGTAAGGCACATCATTATTTCATGTAACACTAAGAAAAAATAATTCCACCAGTCAAACTATGACAAAAAGCTTTCTTACCATTTTATACTTATTGAAAGAGTTTTTAAAACTTTTATCTTAGATTTCTTATCATACATATGTAAAGGAGTAAATAAGCCGGATAAGTTAGTGAAGTATTCCTATACTTCGCACATTGAGTTGGATTCTTCAGAATTACTTTCTTACACAGAGTCTTGATGTCCTTGCTTTTCTAAACAAAATGTTGTCCTCTATGCCTTCAAAGATGCTTGTGATGCAGCATTCGTTCAAAGGGTGCTCCCTGTCATTTCTAAGATTGTCTTCTAAGCTAGCAACATTCACTCTGTTTTAATGCACATCGTAAGCAAGGAATGACAGCTCTATCACATCTGCTGCCTGATCGACTAAGATTGTGAAATGTGCCTGATTTCAGATATGTTAACATGTGAAACAATATGTGACTTAGAATTGGTAGAGTATGGTCATAAAAATAGCAAATGTGGGCAACATAATGGAAACTGTAGGCTATGAAAGTGAGTATGTATGATGCTTGGAACAAGTCTGCACTTCCTTTGGACCAGGAAAGCCGATCAGTCTGGTCCCACACATCCCTGGACCTGGGCACGCAGAGATTAAAAGCAGGGCCCTGACTGCTCAGGGCTGATCCTGTCTCCATCACTCTTCTAGCTGGATGATGTTGGGCATGTTCCTTAGCCCCTTTTCAGCCTCAGTTTTCTCATCATAAAATAGCCTCATAAGACCACAGTGAGGTTGAAGTGGAAAAGTCGTGTCACAGACTTAGTACAGGCAATAGTGCCTGGCATGTGGTCAGTGTGCAACAAGTGGTATCTGGGTGAAATAAGTGAGATCGCGGTTATCCTGGATCAGTGGTATATATTATTATCGCTCTCATTTATTTCTCTTACAGTTCTGGGAGAATATAAGCCAGCCTTTCAGCTGAGGATCGTGGACAAAAATAGGGCCATTTGTTACTTTTTATGTGTGCGTTCACTCTTTTATAACCATCTGGCATGATGATCAAGTTTAATTTGTTTTGCTTACTTAAAGAAGATCCCAGGAATTTGGTCTTCTTGAATGAAAGTTAAGAATGATGTGTTAGAAACTCAAAAAGAATATGATTCACCTAGGGTAAATAGTAGGCACGATTGGCCTTCACAAAACAATATAAAGCTCGAGTCCTGTAGCCACAGGATTTGATCTATAGTCTTAGTCGTGCTTGCCCTGTTCTGCTTTGATACTTTACCACTGAAAAGTGTGCACTTGGATTTCATCCACCTTTTAGCTATTTTTGAGTCAGGGCACATTGAGGAGAGCTTGTGCCGTCCAACAAACTATAATTACAGTTAATGATAGGCTTCATTTGCATGAAGTAAAGTGTCTGGTGATAACATTGGCCTTTTGGAGAAGGCCTGTCATGTTCATAGGGTCTTCGGCTGCTCTGTTTCCTGGTGGAAGCTGTTGCCAGGGCAGCTGGAGTGACCTGTGTGAATATGCTCTGGAGCAGTTGTCTCCAAACATTCTTGGCAGCAAACTCATATCAGTAAAGAAAGTTTGAGCATGCATCTATCACATATACATTTGAAATTAAGTTAATACATTATAAAACATATGCCAGAAATAGAAAGTTAAAAAATTTGAGATAAAAATTAACAGAAATAGCAGTTCTCATTTTTTTTCCCATCTGATGTGTTTTTCTGCCAATTTTGTGTTCCTATGCATATATATATATTTTTTTTAGTGGCTGCCCTAAATTCATTTAGTTTATTATTTATTAATTTAGTTTATTATATGCTATCATGAACTTCTTTGTATATAAACCTTAGTTTGAATTCCTCATTATTTCTTTTGAGTATATTTTTATTTTTATTTATTTTATTTTATTTTTTCTTCCCCCCCTTCCTGGGTATATTTTTAGAGGTAGGATTGTTGGGTCAAAGATATGAACATTTATTAGGCTCTTGATATGTTAAAGATGTGAATTCTTTCCTTCACGTTTTTTGCAGATATTTTTCCACTGGGGTTTGCCTTTTGGCATCTCTTTTCCTATAAAAATGAGAACATAGAATATGAGGAGAAATTCCTTCGTAACAGATGGCTGGCCGAGGAATTCAGGGAAAGTGGCCTGGGGTGCAGTTTTTCCATCTCACTGGGCTGGGAACATTGGTTCCATGCTCTTGATCCCTGTTAACATGATTGTTATATCTAAATAGCTACTAGTTAAACCTTCTGAACGAATCCTAATGCAGTTGTAAAGGTGCCATTCTTAACATGCAGCAGGGAAATGGTTAGAGGGTAAGGAAGAAATTCTACATTCCTTTCCAATATTTTTAGGAAAGAGTCTGCATAAGGAGGAGAAAATACCCAAGCAGCTATTGTGCGAGACCAATTTCTTCTTTCTGTGTTTTGGCCTAAACTAAACTCATTTTGTCCTACTAGTGTTCATCATGAGTTTCAGGAAATTTAATTACTAAATTTGCATATTACTTTTTTTTTTAATGATATACAACATTTTAAATCAGTTTTAAAGGTTAAAGCTGTACGTGGTACAAATGTGCTTCTATTTTTATATGTTTCACTGTATTATAATTCCTTATTCCTCTGATTATCTTAATAGACTCTTCTTACCTTCTTGTAGGCAGAGTCTGTGTTCTGTTTGTCTAATCCCAGAACCTAGTAGTGTCTGATAGATACTAGGTGTCTAATAAATGTTTCCTGGGTAAATTAATAAAGGTTAAGAGTATAATGGTGGAGGGAAAGTCTGAAAGGAGGCAGCATAGCAGAGTGCAGGTTTTGGAGCCAAACGGCTGGACTCGCATCCTAGTTTTGCCATTTTTCAACTGAGGCTTAGTTTCTTTATCTGTAAACTGAAGATAATATTAACCCTCATCTCATAGAGTTGTTGTGCAATTTAACTGTGTCAAGGCTTATAGTTTTGGCAATATACGATGACACGTAGATGCTTAATAAATACTATCTATTATTTTGAGTAATGCACAAAAGATAAAGCACACTGTTTCTCAAGTAATTTCATTCTATGACCAGAGGCAATTAATTTTAACTTTTCTTTTCCTTTTGTTAGAATGGAGAAACACCATTCTTCCTGGCTGTTGCAGGAGGTCATGAAGAATGCAGCAAAGTGCTACTGGCAGCAGGAAGTGATATCAACATTCCAAATAAAGTACGTGTTCCATGCTGTGTTTACTCATACAGTGAGAGGAGGACTCAGAATGCTCTTCGCATAATCTAGTCCTGCACTGATCCACTCACTGGGCTTTTGTAGAATTAATATTTATAATTTGCTTTGTTTGGGTAAGAATTAATGATTGATCTCTGATAATCCCCAATTAATGTCTCCTCAAAAGCAATGCTATCTTTTCTATTTATTTGAGGAAGAAATAATTAAGAATGAGCCAAAAGGAGCAAATAGTTGTTACTTCTAAAATACAGAGACATTCTTATTCTGCTTTATTTTACCCTATCAACTAGTACATGCCTGGCTTAGCCATAGTAGATGCAGGAAAAAAAAAAATTATTGTGTGAAAGCCCAATGGTCAGTCTGGAGCCTGGAGAAGGCAGGCTGGTGCCTTCTTCTAAATACAAAATACTTTGGTGCTAAGATCCTTTGACATTTATCTTCATTTTTTTAGATGAGAAAACTTTGAATTTAGGAAAGTTAAGGAACTCATACAAGATCATGCAACTAGTCAATGACAGTGCAAGAATTTGAGCTCAGTGTCTGTGATTTTAACCACTGCAACAACCTTGCCTTCAAATGGTTTTACTTTCCTTTTCTATTTTTCTAATTATTTTTAAATTATAATGAAAATAAGAAAAATAATGATTAGTATCAAAGGGTATACAATATAAAGTGTCTTATTCCAACTCCATAACTCAATTTCTCCTCTTTAGAAGTAACATTATTAATAATTTATTTAATCTTGCAGGAATTGTCCATGCATTCACATGGAAAATGTGATTAAACACATGCACATGTGCATACTAACACCGTATGCTACATATACACACACATACACACACACCTTGTTTTTGTTTTTTAATTGCCAATATATATTGGCAATCTCTCCATTTCAGTACAATGTATAAACAGTTCCTCTTCAGAAAGTAGAAAAACAGTAGAATCAAGAATAAAGTCCCAAATTAGCAATGTTTAATACCCTTGTATTCTGCTGACAGGAATGTACATTTGTTTAACTCTTTTGAAAAGCTATTCGTCACTTTCACTCATCTTTGGGAAATTATGTTGATGGAATAATCTAAAGATGGTGGGGGGAGCGGAGTGACATGCATTAAGATAGAGGTTAAAGTTACCTTCAATAGCCAAAAATTAGATACAACCTATAAGCACAGTAAATGGTAGGGGAAGGCTGAACCAAAATTTGGTGCACCTATTCTTGGAAAATTATGTAGCCATTAAAAAATATTCATGATAAATACTAAATACATTACAATATAGAAAAATGTTTATGATAGAACACTAATTGAAAAAATATGTGTTTATACATATATTTTAACTGTATAGAACTTATATATACATGGTAATATTGAGTGTACAAAATGAAGGTAGTGGGAGGTGATTCCCACTGATGTTACAAGGTTATTTATGCAATAAATGAACACAGAGTTAAGAATTCATGGGGCCCAGGCAATACTCAAAATGTGGAGAGCTGTGCTGTTTTTCGTCACTGCACAGATGCCTCCCTGCCCCTAGTCTACAGCCACTCTCGGTCTCTGGAAAGGCCTCCCTGGTTAGCAAGATCCTCTTGGCTTACCCCATTGTTCTGTGCCCTCCTGCCCTTCTGCACTTAATTATTGGGCCCTCAGAGGGGTTTTGCTTTGTATTGTCTCTCATATGGTTATGGTCTCCCCACCCAACTAAGACTACAGGCTCCACATTGTCCATATCCTTATGACCTTGGCCTAATCTAGGCAGCCTGGAAATTGTCCTAAATCCTGTTTTCAGCTTTCACGTTATCTTGAGTTTTTCCCCTGAGTTCATTAGCATGCTTCCTGGATCTACAGCTTCAGTCTCCACTAGTGGTCCACACCATCTAACCCAGTGAGAACCCTGGGGAAACAAGCAGTGTGAAGCAAGAAGCCAGCAGCATGGCTGCACATTATTGCAAGGACGTGCTAGGCTTATTTTGCTTTCGTATCTGTAGGTGATCATTGTGTTTGATCTTGGAAGTGCTTCACCTACTGACATTGCTTAGTCTTGGTCTCCAGGAGATTGCTTTTGTGTCCCCACCCCCAACCAAGGGGGGCGATAAAGGGTTGAGTCATTTCTGAGGAGGTGATTGAAGAAGATTATGGATTAAGCTGATGGTTGGAAACTTTCTCCATCAGTGCTGGATGGAGAGGCTGCCAGGCGTTTAGGCAATAGGCTCTCTTCAGGCCATACTAACTGCCCTGGGTCCAGTGGAGACTTTTGTAGACCTTAGGAACTCATATTTTCAGAGGTCCTATCCTCACATTTTATTGAACGTATTTAAAGGCCCCCACATTCCATGTTAAATATTTTTTTTCCCTGTAAATTGTTTTTAAAGGTTATTTTGATTGTGCTTTCACAATTATTTGGATATGACAAACTTCTCTAATTTATGATTGACCGATTCCTTAGACCTCTGTTTGTACTTAGGAATTTGAGGAAGGTGAAAAACTTTAACCTACAAATTATTTACAAATGTAATGAATATTTTATGAATATTACATTTAACAATCAAGGAAGTATGAATATGTGATTTAAATATTCACTTCAGTTTCGTGGTTTTGGTATCTTGGAACCAATGTTTTTTTTTTTTAAGACTGTAAATATTTATTTGGCTCTGAGAAGTCTGCAGTTCCTGTATACTGTGCCCGTAGCGCCTCGTGGGTAAAATGCCACAGACTCCCTCAACTCTTCCTACTATAGGGTTCCTGGCTTTGGGTTCTTCATGAACTTGTTTCTGCTTCAGATTTTCTGACTGTATCAGGGCCTGCTCTTGATTATCTAGAATTTTACCATTCTCATCTTAGTTTAAATGTCACTGTATCCAAGAAGTCTTTCTTGGTCACTCACTGGAAAGTAGCCATCCAGTCTTGCTATTTTACTTCTCACTGTAGCACTTATCATTAGCTGATATTATGCTTTTAATAACATCTATAGTCTAATAAATTTATTCTCAATCTGCTGACCTACTGATCTACCAATCTATAGATCAATTGATTGTCCACCCCCATTGGAATACAATATTAGAGATCTTATCAATCTAGTCATAATCCCTCCCCATTATCTAACGTAGTACCTGGAACATAATAAGTGTTCAATAATTTTTGTGGAATGAATAAGATGATAGTTATGATTACCATACACATTTACTAGTTCATTTGTTATTCCAGTATTGCTATAGTTTGAGAGAAAGAGGTAGGATGGTAGAGTAGATAAGACAATGCCCCCCGAAGATATCCACACCCTAATCCTTGGAACCCATGAATATGTTATGATACATGGCAAAGAGGAATTTAGGTTGCAGATGAAATTAAGTTTGTTCATCATCTGACCTTAAAATGAGATGATCCTGAATTCGGCAGGTGAGCCTAATGTAATCACAAGTGTCCTTTAAAGCAGAAGAGGAAGGGGGGCGGCAAGGAGGGCAGAGGGAGGCTGTGTGGGAAGGGCTCAGAGCACAGTTGCTAGCTAGTATTGAAGATCAAGGAAGGAGACCATGAGCCAAGGGATGCGGATGGCTTCTATAAAGTGGAAAAGGCAAAGAAATGAATTCTCCTGAAAGCCTCCACAAAGGCCTTTAATTTAGCCTGGTGAGACCCATTTCAGATTTCTGACCTCCAGAACAGTAGGATAATATATTTGTATTGTTTAAGCCACTCAGTTTGTAGCAATTTGTTATTAGCAGTAATAGAAAACTAATGTAAGTGGTAATATCATTTTTACAGAGGAAGACAAAGCATTCTATACTTGAGAGGCCACTTATCTGAGGTCATACAGGCATTTAGTATCAGCTCAAGGCAGACTCCAGTTGGTCAGAGTGTGTATCATTCCTGTTAGTATCTGTTCCACTTGTCCACTGCTTCATAACAAACTACCCCAATGTATGGTGGCTTAAAACACTGTATTATCTTTTATGCCTCTGAGGGTTGACTACAACCCCCTGAGGGTTGTAGTCAGATGTCATCCAGGACTTCAGTCATTCGAAGGCTTAACTGAGGTGGACATCCACAGTGGCTCACTCACTCATATGCCTGGCAGTTGAGGCCAGCTTCAGCTGGGACTGTTGACCAGAGCACCGACATGTGGCATCTCCATATGCCTTGGCCTTCTCACAGCATGGCAGCTGGCTTTGATGAGGTAGGGAGTAGAAGCCACCAGGCCAGTTCAGGGCCACACCTGGAACTGGCATGTGTCACTTTTGCCATATTCTATTGGTCAGAGCAGTTAGAGGGTCCATCAGATTCAAGGGGATAAGAAATGAACTCCACTGCTTGATGGAGGAGTGGGAGGGTGACCCTGCAAAAGAGCAAGTAGGAATAGAGATACTTATGCAGCCATTTTAGGAAAACACAATGTCCTATAGCATCTTTATTTGGAAGACTTGAAATTACTTCATAGCAGTCTCACAGTGAATTGAACAATAACTATTCACTGACCAAGTACTACCATAAGGCACCATGCTAGGCCTTTTGGAAGATGGCAGGATAATCAAGAGCAGGCCCTGACCTAAAGCAGTTTTAGCATCTAGCATGAGCACTAAGTGAAGACACTTGAGTACAGGGAGCTGTGGGAGGCAGCTGGTAGCAGAGTGAAGGAGAGGCGATGCTAAGGGGTTCTAGTGAAAGGGTCATGAGGAACGCGCACATAGGTAGTATTCATGCCAAGCTTTAAAGCCATACCTGGCAAAGGGGAGATCTGCTAGTAAACGGTCAGGGAGGCAGGAGTGGTGAGGCATTTCTTGGCCACAATACCAAGTCAGCAGGGCACACAAAACACTTGGCCCTAGTCTATTTTGTGCTTCCTGGGATTTAACTCGTATTTGCCTGTGGCTTGTGTTACCTAGGACTCTGACTCTCTAATGGGAGACACTTAGAACAACAAAGAGCTCCCCCAAATTATCAGAAACACATTGGAGGATTTTCTTTATTAAATAGTCATACTATTTCATTGTATTGGTTGATTGCCATGTGATGAACACCAGAAGGCATGCTGGGCTCTCACGGGAATCCCTCTGTGCCCTCTCCATTTATCTCTTGCAGCTCAATATCAGCGCTTTGCAGATAGCGACCCAGAATGGCCACGCGTCCCTTGTCAGCTTTCTTCTCAGTGAGAACATTGATCTGCACATGAAGGTGGAAGTGAGTCTATTCCAATAACGCAGGCTTTGATCCTGGCGCTGCAAGGCTGGCTGTGCTGGGAGATGCTCCCTGTGATACAGATACGTGGTGGGGATGAGGTGTTCACAAAGGAAGAATTCTTTCTGGGAAGGCCAGCTAACTTCTTTTGGAGATTGAGTCTTAATCTTAAGAAATAAAATCCAAGGGATATGTTTTAGAAAGTTATTGAAGTTCCTGAACAAAATGAAATCTTTGTGTTTTAAATACTTATATTTGCTGCAACAAAACTTTCTCCTGTATCTAGAAATGCCATTATTAAATTTATCAGTCCAGGAAAATGATGAGGCTGCTGTCAATAGGAAATATGATAGTTTTTTTTCCCCCTTCACTGAACAATCTTGTTTTTCTTTTGAAAGTCAATCCTTTATGCTGACTTAGGTTTTCTGAAGTTCAAATTTGCTTTGGTAGGGTTAACAAAGGTTCTCTGTGCTGGAATTAGATGAGAAACCCTCCCCTCTTTTTCACTCTATTTTCATTTCTCCTGTGAGAATATTATTTCCTCTGATCCTGCTTTGCCATTATTACTTATTGTATTAACTCGAGAGAAGGGATGCGATTTGCTCCATGACTGGTAGTTTTTGGAGAATGGTGTTAGGGGAATTGGCTTTGAACTTGCCTGGTTCGTCCAAGGATGCTTCCTGTGTATCAAGAGGGGCTGGGCCCCAGCAAGGCCGGTGGTAACACTGCCCACCTCCTTGAGAGGAGGGATGCTTTCTCTCTTTTCATGCTTAGTGCCTCAAGAGGGAAGGTTCTTCCTGAGCAGAAGGGGTCTGCACAGACAGCCTTCCCCTCACACCGCCCCCTCCAGCTCCATCTGTCTCTTATTTCCCTTGCTCGCCCTCAGACAGTTTGACTTACGCATTCTACCTGCTCCTTCCTCTCCTCTTCCTCTGCGTGCTGGTGACAGTCTTGCCAACTCACTGCATCTCTGCTCCATCAATCTACCCCTGTTTTCTGAGAAGGAGTCTGGTGCCGATGTTGGAGTCAGGAAGATCTGGGTTCAGATCCTGTCTCTGCCACTTCCTCTCTCTGATACCTAGTGGAAGTTATTTAACCTCTCTGTGCCTCATATATAACACGGGAAATAGAAGACCTAACTGCTAGGGTAATTGTGAATGAAAAGTTGTGTTTAAAACAATACTATTGGGGAAGTGAGTATATAGTAAGTACCATTATAAGAATATGTAACTAATATTTGATATTATCTGTTCTACTTGAGCAACACTGCACTCTGTCCTCATCACCCGCCCTCACACACATCTGCCTTCCCTCTCTCCACTCACTTTGCTTTTCAGCTCAACTACTGTTCTCTAAAGGTCTCACTGGATCTTTCACCTTTGTTATTTCACACCTGTACCTTGCCCTCTCCACTGGATAACCCTATCCTCTCCACTGGATAACCCTCGCCTTTCTCTCTCTCATGCTTTACCTGTGCTCTCCCCACCCCTTCAACTGCCTTCTCTGCCCCCTCTAGGGCATGTTTCCTCTCGTGCCTCCAGGGCCCATGGCAGCTGGGTGGGAGTGAGGTAGCTGGAGGCCAAGTGTGTGATTGTGGAGGTGGACAAGGAAGCCTGGAGGGCTGGTCCTCTCCACTGGATAACCCTCACCTTTCTCTCTCTCATGCTTTACCTGTGCTCTCCCCACCCCTTCAACTGCCTTCTCTGCCCCCTCTAGGGCATGTTTCCTCTCGTGCCTCCAGGGCCCATGGCAGCTGGGTGGGAGTGAGGTAGCTGGAGGCCAAGTGTGTGATTGTGGAGGTGGACAAGGAAGCCTGGAGGGCTGGGTAAGAAGCACAGGGGGAGATGGGGGAGAGCATGGGGGTGTGGCTGGAAGACAGGTGTTTTAGCCACAAACAAGGAGGAAAGGGGAGAAGGCTGCAAGGGCTTGGTGAATACACCGTGGCTAGACTTACATTGGTGGGAGGGCTGAGCACAAGAATGGTGCCCCTGGTTGAGTGGGGTGCTAGTCCCACAACATGCTCTAGGGAGAAAGAGCTTGAGATCAGATCAATTCAGGAAATGCTGTTTCCTCTTTGTGACTCTTCCAACAGCACTGTAGCTCTTTGAAGGCGCTGAGAAGTCCTGTAGTTAAACCTATTTAATACTTTCTTATCCTTCATAGTTGAGCTCAAATGTCAGTTCTTCAGACTGACCTCCAGAAAGGTCGGCTCTCTGCCCATCCACACATAGGCTCTCATACCACTCTCTACTTTTCCTCCAAAGCACTTATCGCAATTTGTTATTGTATATTTATTTTGTGATTAAAAAAAAAAAAAACAGTTAATATTTGCTTACCCCACTAGATTGGAAGATTCTTGAGAATGGGCCATGTTCACCATTCATTCCCTATTCCTCCTAAAAAGAGCCTGGCCCACAGCAGGTATTCAGCGCATAGTTCTAGAATGAATGAAGGAGAAAGCTGATTGCTGGTAAGCAGGTTTGCCAAATGGCCTTGGAGAGGGGGATGACTGCTGAATGTGTACTATGGGCCTGTCACCATGTTGGGCTAGTTCAGTTCTCAGGAAAGTATCAGGAACTGTCTGCCAAAATGAGTAGCTTTTTGATCTGAATGATGAAGCCAGAACCTTTTGGATTTCAAATTTTCATTTCTTTCTGCAGCCTAAGGAGTCCCCTCTTCATTTAGCTATTATCAACAACCATATCGCTGTGGTAAACAGCCTATTAAGTGCACAGCATGATATTGACATCTTAAATCAGGTAAGCCAAACAAATGAGAACCTGGAGAGTCTGTTCTCTTATGTTTTAACACAGTGTGTGCTTAGGGGTAGATTTGATCAAGTTCAAGGTACTCTAAAATTTCCTGGGAGGAATGTGCACATTCTTTTTATCCTTTCCCTTCCCCTGTAACCTTCACTCCCACAAATGCTTTGTCTTTTTCATACAACTGGAGTTCAGCCAGTGCATTAATTTAACAGGCCCAGCACTTCTGATAAATAGTAGCTCAGATGTAAATTGCCAGAGGCTCTTTAAATCAAAAGCCGCTCCCTCAGTGTGAAATGTTGTAATTAGGGGGAGCCCTTCCCCACAAGAAGGAAGCTTTGTTTCTATGATATAAACAATGTGTCTTCTTTTTTGCCTAAAGGCTAAAATCTTGTAATTAAAAAAAATCACCATGCATTCAATCCACTGGAACAGAATCAAATGCCTCATAAGAGCAATCCATCACTGGCTGGAAATGGAAATGCCGAAGTGGAAGAATAAAGCGGATGTGGGTGGGCACTGTCTGGACAGGGCTTGCTCTCAGGCTCGGCTGCCCTCTTCCAGGAGCTGTTGGGAGGGACTGGGAAGAGAAACCATGGGGAGAGGAGCCCTTCCAGAGTCCTGAGGACAGATGAGAACTCTGGACACATCCCGAAGTGGGCTGTCTTTTCCCAGAGAAGCCTCAGTTGTGCCCTCCAGGTGGGGAACAGCCAGGCACAGTGGGTGTGCCATCCTAACCCACTGTGTAGCCCTCAGTTCCTCATCTGTGAAACTAGAGCACTGACTCAGATCTCTGCAGTCTCCTTATGAGGTCAGTTGTGCCCTAAGCTGAATGGAGATTTATCTCCTCTTCTGTCCCTTGCTTTCCCAGGGAATTTCTTCCTCTCCCATCTTTTACTAACCCAAAAGTTTGGGTGAAGAAAAACCCCTCTTGTTATTAACTATACTTAGGTGTCCAACAATGTTAATGCCCCGAACCTTTCCTAATGGGTGGACTCTTTGCTACATACACAGACAGAACTCAGGTGTGATTTTGGTTTCACCGGAATTGGCTAGGTTCATTCCAGAGAAGGAGGGTATGTTAGGCTACCATCCAGTTATAGAACTAGATTTTATCATTTCAGTTTTTGTTTTGTTGTTGTTAGACAAGGAATATACTCAAAGTATAAAAATAAGAAAGCATAAATAAACTAAAAGCTTACAATTTGTTTTTAATCCCCCCAGAAAAAAAGAACCATTGTTAACATTTTGGTACATTTCCTGCCTTCTAGACTTGGAGCAGCACCGTATTGTGTCTCTATTTCATTTCTCAGTATAGACCTCGATAGGTTAGTCAGTGTAAGCATGTCTTTTTGCCCAACTTGGATGATGAGCCCCCTGAGGAGCACATTGCCACCCCAAAGTGAATCTTTAATAAATGCTCATTGATTTTAATTATGCTAACGCCCCAAATAAGTTGGCCCCGTGCTCTGGTAGGAAGAATACTGGGCTAGATGCTATTGCTTAGCTGTGTGACCCTGGGGAAATTGCTTTCCTTCTCTGGTTTAGGGACTGGGCTAGATCATAACCAATGTTCTTTCGGCCCTAATATTTTAAAAGTGTCTTCGCATCAGCAGTACTTTTGGTAATTTTCTTGTGATTTCATGTATTTCTTTGAAATACTCTCATACTATTGATAGGAAAATGATTATTCCAGAAGAAATTAGAAGTCTTGTACTTCTTTATACATTATAATATAGGAAATTTACAAGAGAGAGAAAAGCATCGAGAAAGCACTAAAAATAACCTCTAAGCCCTCCATCTACATATTATAATTCTTTTTTAAATTTTTAATTATTTATGTATTATCTATATTATCTATAATTATTTATATATTAATTACAGTTGACATTCGATGTTATTTTATATTAGTTTCAGCACAATGGTTAGACATTTATATGATTTATGAAGTCATTCCCCCTGATTAGTCTACTACTCACCCAGAACTATACATAGGTATTACAATATTATCAACTATATTCTCTATGCTATACTTCACATCCCTGTGAAATTCTCCCTGATTAGTCTACTACTCACCCAGAGCTATACATAGTTATTACAATATCGACTATATTCTCTATGCTGTACTTCACATCCCTGTGACTATTTCATAATTACCAATTAGTACTTCTTAATCCCTTCACCTTTTTTACCCAGTCCCCCAACCCTCCTCCTATCTGGAAATCACCAGTTTGTTCTCTGTATCCATGAGTCTGTTTCTGTTTTGTTTGTTAGTTTATTTTGTTCTTTAGATTCCACATATAAGTGAGATCATATGGTATTTGTCTTTCTCTTTTTGACTTATTTCACTTAGCATAATACCTTCCAGGTCCATCCATGCTGTTGCAAGTGGTAAGATTTCATTTTTTATCGCCGAATAATATTCCATTGTATATCATTCCTAATATCATTGATGTCATTTCTTCTCTATATATGTGTGTGTATATATATATAAAATATCATTTCTTCTCTATATATGTGTGTGTATATATATATAAAAATCTATATATAATCTGCACTCAGCTAAATATAGTGTTGGTGTCTAAGGCTTTTAATGTTAAATAAGTATTTTTTCATTTTTAAAAATAATCTTTGAAACTTTTTTATTGCGCCAAAATACACATAACAAAATTTACCTTTTTAACCATTAGTAAATGTATAGTTCAATGGCATTAAGTACATTCTCATTGTTGTCTAACTATCACAATGGATGTTGTATAACATCCATCTTCAGAACATTTTTTGTCTTCTCAAAATGAAATCCCGTACTCATTAAACAATAATTCCCCATTCCCCTCAGCCCCTGGCAACTACCATTCTGCTTTCTGCTCTATGAGCTTGACTACTCTAGGTGCCTTGTATTGAAATCATTTTTAAAAGTTATTCTTAGTGGTTGCCTACTATTCCAATATGTGGACATATCATAGTTATCTAATGAGTCTCCTTGTTAAACATGTTACTTCATTTGTTTTTCACTGTCATAAATAATACAGGCATAAATGTCCCGTGTGCCTACTTAAACGTATATAATCTTATCTATTTTCCCTTATGCCTGTATAGGACAACTCTATTTTCCATTTCTCTTTTCACTATGCATGTTTTTTTTTCCTTCTTAACTTGGGTTACCTTCTTGAAATTTCTCATGGCAGAGGCAGCAAACTCCTTTGCATGTGGCTGCTGATCTTGGAAATGTGGAACTGGTGGAAATCTTGCTGAAGGCAGGCTGTGACTTGAACATTGTTGATAAGGTAATTTCATGGATTTTTCTCTGTTCATCTGAGATGGTTGGTAAGAACTCCCTGCTGGCTGTGAGCCTTGAGCAGCAGCATTAGCATAGCCTTTGTGAAATGGACTCAAACTGATCGTCAGTAAAACATTCCAATTTTGACTGAGATAGGTTCATAAGAATTTTTACTCTGAACAATAAAACATTTTTAAATTCAAATTATTAATTTTTGGAAAAGATTAAAGATTCACATGGTCCAAAACATATATTTACACACACACACACACACACACACACACAATTAGTAAAAGTTTGACAGAAAAAATTTCCCACCCACCTGTCCCTGTTTGGTTCTCATACTACCCTTGCCATACGTATCCATTATTATACATTTGTCTGTTTTTTTTCAGAGTTCCTTTATGCATTGACAAGTTAAACATCAATATGTTATACTCTTCTCCAATTCCTCTGTCTTTGTTACACAATGGTGACATACCTCTACGTATTGTTCTGCTTTTAGCTTTTTTCCTTTAACGATGTAAAGTGGAGATCATCTCATATTAGTACCTGGAGAGTTTCTTCATTTTTTTTTTATACAGCAGCATAATAGACTATAGTATGGACATATCACAATTTGTTAAACTAGTTCTCAACTGGTGGCCATTTAAGTTGTTCCTAAGCTTTTACTATTATAAACAGCTGCAATGAATAAATATACATGTGTCTCAACTCATTTTTTATTTGTAAAAGTTTTTCAATTGTAAAATACAAAATGCATAATGTAATATTGACCATCTTGACCATTTTTAAGTGTGCAATTGAGTAGCGTTAAGTGTATTCACACTGTTATGTAACCAATCTCTAGGACTTTTCATCCCGCAAAACCGAAACTCTGTGAACAACAACTACCCATTTTCTCCTCCACCATTCTACTGCCCCTGGCAGCCACCTTTCTGGTCTCTGTGAATTTCACTGCTCTAGGTACCTCATATAAGTGAAATCATACAATATGGTTGAATAACACTCATTGTATGTGCACACCACATTTTGTTTATCCTATCATCTGTGGATGGACATTTGGGTTGCTTCCACCTTTTGGTTTTTATGTAGACTTGTTTGATGCAATGATGTAGGCTGATGTAGGCTCAGCCAACGGAAGGTTCTAGTCTTACTAAAAGGTATAAATACAGGAGACTGCTGCTAAAACACCTGTTAGGTGCTCACATACATGCTTTCTTATTTCAGTCTTTGCATCTCCTCTGTGGACAAAATAATCTGTTTTCAAGACAAGATTTGAGAGATTTTAATGACAGCAGAGTCACATACATAGTAAGAGGCAGAGCCTGGCTTCAAAGCCATGGCTACTGGCTGCATGGTTGTCTGATGCTTTCCTACAAATGTCGACAAAGGTGACTGCTTTCCCTTCCTTGTCTTCGCTCACACTGTTTATCAGCTCGGCACAGCCCTAATTCCCAGTACAAGCCTGAGTCCACCCTGCTCTATTTCAGAATCACACATTTTACATTTTTAGGATCTGAAGTAGTGATATGCTATTTGACTTTTCTCTATATGTCAGTTTTTAAAATTAACTCTTTTTTTTTTTTCTGATCATAAAAATAATCAAGCCCAATGATGACAATCTGGAAAACAGAAAGCATAAGGAGAACACAATCACCCATAATCCCATCGCTTAGTCATGGCTCATTAACTTCTGTAAATATTTAGCATTAATATTAACATTAAGTGTTAGTATTTTCCTATGCTGTCTTTTTGTACTTTATTCTACTTTTTCATCAATTCTTATCACCTCCCAGGCAGTCCTGTGGGTAGAGAATCTATAGTATTGGCAGAAAATTGATGTTGGGGGCCCTGGTGCTATTGGACTGGATATTCTAGTAAACACCTTCAATGCTACAACTTGGCTTTGTTTTCAGAACAAAAGCCCACAGTTTACTAGGCTTACAATTTGATTTTCCCAGATTTCCCTTCTCCTCCTCCCTCCTTCTTCTCAGGGTCTGGCACCTAGTTAGCACCCAATATATATTTAATTAATGAGTAAAAACTACCTTTCTATAGGCTTCCACCAAAGGTAAATGACAGTGTCTAAGACTGAATTAAGGCCTGGAATTTATGAATAGGAAAAGGGGACCCAAGTATGGTGTAAATTTGACTTTCCCAGAAATCTTTTTTCTTGGCCTGAGGCATCACAGGTTCCTGAGGGCCTTCTACCCTTGATGGCATTGAGTATTTGGATTTCTACTCTAGCGTACCCTCTTGGGGAAGGTTTTCTATGATCTGAAACTCTGGCTCTCAGAATACTGCCTTCCCAAAATAGGCTAATTATGGTGATTCAGATGGCTTTACAAGCCAGAATTTAGACAGTGTACAATTAGAGACTTGCTGAATGCCTACAAAATGCAGTTCTTCCTAATTTCATTACTGCCTCTTTTGATTAGAAGCTGATTACTCTCAGCCCTCATTTTCAGGCTCACCTGAGTCTTAGCGCCTGGACTAACAGCCAAATCATTTGGGTTGTTGGAAGTTGCAAACAGTCAGCCACGTGAGAAAATTATTGGGATTCCCTAAGGATAGACATGGGTTCCTGAGATTAAAATTTCTTCTGGAGTTACTTCTGACTAATCATTTAAATTATCTTCAGGATCTTTGAGCAAATTTTTCATGGGTCATTTTCAAAGCAATGAGTAACACTGTCTTCTGCTCAGAAAAAAAAAAAGCGTAGTAGATATATAGATTGTTCACTGCATAAAATCAAGGGGAAAAAAATGTAGGAGAAACCGCTTGCAAAGCTGTGTGCCCTGGCTTTGAGCTATATCCATCTTGACAAAGGTGTGCCTTTTGTAATTTGTACAAGGTACCATATGGGCTTCAGGCCACTTATGGCCCAAATTATGTCCAGTATAGCCTTTACTGATCATTCCAAACCCTCACCCTTGGTTAAAGGCAGTAATGATATAATAGGAAAAGAAAAGTTCTAGGTAGGAGTCCAGCAAGCTGAATTCTGTACTATGAATTAGTAGTATTGTCATGATTGATGTTATTCTTAATAAGATCCAGTCCTTTTCTGTCTTAACATTCCACCGTCTTCAACGCATGGGTTCCACTTCCTGGTCTAAGGTGGCCATTCAAGCTCTTGCCATCATGCTAGCATTCCACTTAACAGAGAGAGGAAAGGAAGGAGAATGACCTCCCTCTTCTCTTTAAAGATACTTCCCAGAAGTTGCATATGCCACTTCCATTTACATGCCATTGACCAGAACTTAGGTCCCATACCTAATTGCATGGGACACTAGAAAATGTTTGGGGTGCCCAAGTGCCTGGCTAATACCAGGAGTTCTTTTCCTGTGAAAGAAAGGAAGAAAAGCTATTAAGGAGAGGGGGCATGGAACCCTGACTAAAGCCTCTACCACAGGTGGAGTCAGCCTTTGGAGGAGAAAATGTGTGATCATGTTGTTTATTTGTTGAAGACTTCCCAGTGCAGTGAGCCAGGGAGACCCCTGGGTATACTAGAGAAATGTTTGGGTTCTCATTGATAGAGGGATTTGTAAAACATCAATTGATGATGGTGGGTCGCCTAAGCCCAAAATCTTTCCCTTGCCCAGTTGACATAGTACCAGGCACTATCAATATCTGTCATCTCTTGAACAATTACCATGTGCCATGCACTGTCCTGAGGGCATTACATGCATTATCACATTTACCCCTCACCACTATACCATGAGGTAATTATTGAGATGGATAGAAGAAGCTGAGGACTGGCCCAAATTTACCCTGCAAGGAAACAGTAGGATCAGGATTTGAACTCAGGTCCCCTTGTTCTAAACTAGAGCTCCTAACCACTGGGCAATATCACCTGAGGCTTTCACTTTGACTTTTAGCATGGGAAGACTGCCCTGGCTGTGGCCTCCAGAAGCAATCACAGCCTTGTTGTGGACATGCTCATAAAAGCAGAGAGATACTATGCCTGGAGAGAGGTAAGGAAGGTTGATTCCATTAGAGATGCATTTGCTGTTGTGACATTTCCTTAGCCAAGGTGTCTTCTCTCTTTGGGGGTGGGTAAATAGCAGCAGCAGGCTGAGGTAGAAGCATGGGACACAACACTGCAAAATCTCTCATGTTTCCTGTGTCAGACAGACAGTACTCTAGATTTTTATGTCAGACATCTCTATCTTGAATCACAAAAAATGATCCAATGACATATAACATTGAAAATGTAGTCTCAGTTACCACCTTACCAGTTATATATAGAATATATGTATGTGTGTGTGTGTGTGTGTGTGTGTATATATGTGTGTGTGTGTATATATACATACATTTATATCCCCTTTCTTTGTTTTCTCCACCTTACTTTTTTTACTTTACAATATATTAACAATATATCCTGATGACCATTTTGTGAAAATATATAGACATGCTCATTTACTTTAATTTATTATTATGGCTACATAAGACTCCTCATTTTACTTTGTTTTTATAGTTACATAGTATTCCTCATTTTTTTTACAGCC